AATATAATATACTTGTCTTCTTGGTATTGCAGTTAGAATTTAATTATTTACCTGTCTGATTTTCCAGCTGCGCTGCTGTGGGATCCATAACTATTCAGACTGGGAGAATACTATCTGGTTCAAACAAACTAAAAACAACAGTGTGCCCCTCAGCTGTTGCAAAGCAGCCCTCAGCAATTGCACTGGCAGTTTGACCCGCCCCATGGACCTTTATTCAGAGGTAAGGCAGCCACAACATGAACTCACACAGCCACAATTCATTTTCTTTGGGGGAAATCAACTCTTGGCTGTATTTGCTTTAACAGAAAGTAGATGTTGTTAATCATCTCTCTCCTCTTTTCATCTGTGAATAATTTTCATCTATTTCTGTATATCACAGGGCACCTTTCTGCCCTGTGTGATGCTTTTGGGGGTTTTTTGTCTGTCTAAATATGGTTGCCAGATTGATACATAAAAAGCCTACTTGTTTCAGGGGTGTGAGGCTCTGGTTGTAAAGAAGCTTCAGGAGATCATGATGTATATCATCTGGGCAGCACTAGCATTTGCTGCTATTCAGGTAAGAGAATGTTCATTATTTGTTAACTTCTTTCACATTAGATCTAAACTGCAGTATAGATAATTACAGGTATGCACATACAGATATTACCCTTTAACACAGAACTTCCCACTGCTATGTGGATGTATATTCTATTAGACCTGAACAGTCAGTGTTATATGCAGTAATCCACTCCGATGTAAATGGCAAATTATTTTGTGAAAACTTAATTATCTAGGTATTAAGTATCATAAATGTCCTCTGATGGCATTTAACACTTGAAGATTTTGCATAGTGTTTAATTTCCAATTTCTAAAAGCTCATTTTTCATCCTGTTTTAGAGATACATCATCTTAATATGCTTCTTGGTGTACAGATAATGTCAGGACCACCCAGGAGATACACCTAGGTTTTTGATAGTGTGTTCTGCTCATGTGCAACTCAGCTTTGTGTCTTGAAGATTTCTTGGGTTTTAGACTTAAATACGGTTAACCTAATCACAAAAAGATAACTGAGGAAATAAAGTTATGTGTATATTAGTATTTATTAAATTTTAAGGAAGAAAAAAAAACACTAGAACTGTCTCACAAACATACTTGTGAAAGTGAAATTTTGAATGCTCATCAGCTGGCAGACTTAGTACATAAATGAAATTATTTTCAGATTATGCCTGCCTTATGGTCTCTGAGCAATGTAGTACATATGCTGAATCTCAGGAGACTTAAAAACTAATTTCAAAGTTACTTTAGTGCTCTTAATAGTATTTTAATTCAGAAAACATACCTGTCAAGTCTGACAATTCAGGCACTTTTGTTTTCAAGAGAAGCTTTTGAGCTGGATTGTATGTTTGAAGGTAAATAATCTTTTGCAGTCTTGTGAAAAGAGGGTTCTCTTTGTATTTCAGTGTTATAAGGATGTACTGATAGTACTGTATACTACATACAGTACTATGAGTACATCCTTGTAACATATGAACTGTTCAGACCCAAACTGCTTCAACTGTGGAATTTCAAATTTGAGATCTGAAGGGGAGGTATAGTTTTAATTGTCTTCCTTAAAACTTTAGTTGTTAAAGCAGTACTTGTCTGCTTGAACAATGAAATGTATTTGTGTACTGAAAATTAATGTGTTACCACAACCATAGTTACTGTGACAAAATTTTATGTCAGGAAAAAAAGTGTGAAAAATCTTATGACACTGGCAGAGGTGACTCCCAAGAAGAGGCATTATTCTTAGTGTTGGAGTTTGCAGGTTGATGAACAGATGTGCCCCAAAATGCAGCACAGTTATAATCCTTTCTGGCCCTGGCCCAGAGTTTGACACATGCTTGCAATGGCAGTGTGGCTGCTTGCACCCTTCTGTTCAAACTGTTCTATTATTTATCTCCTGAAATTTGTGACAAAAGTTCAGACAGCTTTGTCTTTCCCATACAGAATTCAAGTATGTAATTGGTCCAATTCTGAGCAAAATGGTCTGTGGGCTAACCGAAGGGGGAGATAGAATGTAAACTTCAGCATATGGCTGTAACTTGGGCCATACCCTGTAAATTTAGAGGAATTATTATGTTTTTCTTACCATTTGTGAATTTTGCTACCTTCCCTATGCTGCCTGCACAGTCCCTGAACAGATTATTTTGTTATGCAATGAAGCTGTTCAAAGTTCATTACCTCTGATAGCCTATAGTCAACAAATTTAACCTTCAGTAATTGCTTTAAAATTAAAAGATTGAGAAGACTATTTTTGCAAGGCTTTAAATATATTAACAACTTAGTCTCTTCTGCATAGGAGTAATTTTTGGTATGTTCATGTTTCAGTTACCATGGGGATCTTTCCAGTGTGCAAGAATTCCCTGGTCCCAGCCACAGTGACAGCACAGAGCTATTAATAGATAGGAGGCAAACTGAAGGGAGCAAAGGCACAGCTTTTGTGGCTGGTGATCATTTACAAAGGGCACATGTATATACAGCCAGTGAATTTTTGTACAAAGTTGGTTTGGGGAAAGATTGAATGTAGTTCTTGCTAGCAGGCAAATGAAATCCAAAATTAATAAACTAAACAAACCTCCTGAATGCAGGAGGTGTCTAAACTTTCCTGAATGCTGTTGAAGAGGAGGATGCATGGATCCTTCCTCATCACATGTCTAAAATAGCTGTTGACAATATTAAATAGCAACCAAAGAGAAACAGACTCAAATGCCTTGAAATGTTTAGAGGTGCTAGCATCTTTTTAAATGACATAATAAATAATGTCTGTAGAGAACATTGAGGTATGTGAGTCACTTCTTTGTGAATATAAGTGAATTCTAGGAATATGCTCAGATACTTCCTTAAGGATATAAATGTTTAAATAGTAACTCAGAAGTTAATTGCATGAGGTTTTACTGTAGTACCTGAATGTTTGAGATTTCGCACAACTGTATAAACTAAATATCTCAAGGGAGTCATTGAACAGGGTTGTCTTTGTGCAAATAGCTGTAAATGTGCTGGATCTACTTTTATTCATTTGATATACATGGCTAGAATGAATTCTAGCAAAAGACTAAAGGAGGTGTTGCTCTGCATCACATTTCTCATTTTATCCTGGCTTGGAACAGCATAGAAGTTTTTGTACTTGCCAGCTGTGAGCCTTCTTGAGTTCTGTAGCCACTGGCAGCTACCCTAAACTCTCCATTTTACAAGTCTAACTGAAGGGGTTTAATTGTAGATATTCCCTACTCACTTAGAAGGGCTGTGTCCATGACGAGTCATTCTCCCATGTGACTTGTTTCTTCTTGCTCTGACACAAATTTATGAACCTAAGCATGCTGTTGTAGTTGATGTCCCTGCTTGGTGCAGGAGGGCTTGACTGGGTGGCCTTTAAAGGTCTGTCCAACCCAAACCATTTCATGATTCTATGATAATATATTTAGGAGTCAGTCTGTGAGCTGGAACCACTTAAATGAAGAAAGGTGCTGTTTTTAACAACAGCTGAAGTACCATACTGTGTTACTCTCCATATGCTTTTTGTAACCTGAGCTGGTTTCTGCTGTAGGTCCAAAGCAGGTAATGCACTGCAGAAAAAGAAGAGTATTGATCTTTACAGCTTGTTCCTTTCCAGGAAATTAAAAGCTCATACTAGAATTTCATCATGTCTCTTCCTAACCACTGCATATTTAGATTTAGGATTTTTAAACATTCTGTTTTCAGTCTTTCAGCAGACTGGAGTACTATATTGTGTGTACCCTCATTTAGTTTTAAAACATGTTACACATCTGATGTTTGTATTGGCCTGTATTTCTAAAAAGTCAATAATTCTCCTTTTGTCCCAGTTTACCTTCACTGGGCTTCAGCTTCTGTATCAGAGAGGAAGATCTATGCCTGTTTGCTCTCCCATTTCATTCTAGTTTCCTTTCTGTCCAAGGGGCTTTTTTTGTGGTGTATTTTTGGACTGGGTTCTTTTTTAAGAAATCATGTCACATTCAGAGTTGTGCTTTATGATCCAGAGATAGGACAGGAGCCTCCTGAAGTATTTGTATCTGTGAATAAACTTCCATGCATACAACCAAATCAATACAATCTCATACTTTAATAGAAGCTATTGCCACTTATTGTAAACCACACGACACTATACCTGCTATTTTTTAGTTGGTACAGTCTTATTCTACCTTCAATAAACATGCAACTTCTTTAAAATATCATTCCCTTTATCCCTGTTTATTCACATGTAAGTGGGCACAGGGTGATCATACCCTAAATCCTGGTAAGTATGCCAGCACAGTTGTGATACTGTAAATTTTAACATGTCTAAAAGTGAATTATTTGCCTTAGATTTAAGCTTTCTTATATGACATGTTCACAAAGAGATAGTTTTATGAAATCTCTTTCAAAAGCCTGTTCTCATCATAGCAGTTAAGCTGATGCATTTGAATTGCACTTGAATTTTCCATACCAGATACAGTATGTAAAAATCTGTACCTTTCATTTAAAAACATTAGGAGTTTCTTCCATCTGAATCTGAATTACTAAGGCAGAATACAAGTGTCTGACCAAAAAAAGTCTTGTTTTAGGTGTCCAGGATAATCTCATAAGAAAATGAGGCTGAAGTGTGTGGCCCTGGGAGTTTTCAGCAGGAGCCAAGGCTCTTTGAGGAATGGTCGTTTGTTGCCTTTATGTTAGTTACAGTCTTGAAGCATGCTGACAGTCTGTGCTGAGGTTGAGTCTCTTGAAGCATCTCCCCTGTACTCAAGCTTGTTCTCTGTTTTTTCTCCCAGCTTCTGGGCATGTTGTGTGCCTGTATAGTTCTATGTAGGAGGAGTCGGGATCCTGCCTACGAGCTGCTCATTGCTGGTGGAACCTACGCCTAGAAGAGAATTCCGACATGCAGTTCCATCTTCCCCACTTCCTGGAAGGTGACTGGGCCAGCTTTACTTCCATAGCTTTCTTGCCCCAAGCTTAGTCCGAGCACACCTTTCAGACACGAGGGCAGCCGCACTGTGCACTGGTGAAGGGCAAAACAACAGCTTTACAAAACCCATAGAATTACCTGTGACTTTCACTGTTTTAGCCAGCTATTCATGTATCTAAATGTTTTAGTATGCTAGTAAACTTTCTAATTTCAGAACCATTTGCAAGTTAAGTGTAATTTGGTTGATATGAAAGTCAAAGGATGTGTGCCTACTTTGGTAGATTACCTCTAAGCATTAACTGGCTGATTCTTGCATATACAGAGAGGAAGTCTTAAACCTTCACTACATGGACCTTTTCTGGCCAAAGTTGTACAAAGGAAGCCAGCTGTATATAATTTGAGAAGAAAAAATGTTTTAATCTTGCCCCTCACCAGTGTCACTTTTAAATAAAGAAAAAAACACTTAAGTCCAGTACACTTTATATATAAAGAAATTGTAGGGAAAAAAAAACTAACCAATTTTAGGATTATGTGACTGCAATTTTGACCTTCAGAGATTCAGTCTTTCAAACATTAGTGGTTTAAAATACAAGCTGGCTTTTCAGGAGTATAATGTATGCACTACTGTTCTATAATGAAATATTTCATTTTTCTATGAAGAGCGTTTTATGTGTTGAGTGAACTATTAGACTGTAGACCTTCAATTGGTTTGGAAACTATGTAGCCATGCAGAGTAGCAAAGTAGTATGTGAAAGTGATCTCAACTGTAAATATAAACCTGATTAAATAAATCTCTGTTTATCCTCCCTATAAACATGTCTTGTTTTCTGTTTAAGATTCCAGTGTATTTCGTCCAATGGAGTCTGGGTGTGCTGGTTATACAAACTGTGTGAAAACAACAGGTTTGGGTGGCCTCATTTCAATAGATCTGTGTTTATGATTTGCTGGAAACCTGATTGTATTGTATTTGTTCTTTTTATTTGATAGCAGCAAAACACAACAACAAACTTGGCTGAACTTGATAGAAAGTTAACATCTTGTGCATACAATTAAGAAAGAATCTGTTGCCTCTAAACAGTGGGTAATGAATAGCTTTACTGTAACTGCTGTATGTTAATTATGTTTTAATGTGTCTTGCATTATTCAAATACTTAGTCACTGCCCTACTTTCCCTGTCTTCAAGTTCTTCCTCCTTTGCAGAAGCCAGGAATGCTCAGAATTTTTACCAGTTGCTTATGTACAAAGCAGACATGCTCAGCTAAACTGACATCAAGAAAATCTCTTACTAAAGAAACATCGCTCAGAAAAAGAAAATTCTAATATTCTAATGTATACACACTTGAGGCCAGTGTAGCTTATTGGGGGATTTTTCTCAGTGCTGTTACACTGCTGTAGACATGTACCTATGGAACTCTGTTAACTTCTAAAGGTGGGTTTCAAATGATACTCCCTTGGGACTTAGATTTTCATTGTTAGTACGGCATGGGGCTCAACCCAGAGACCTCCTGACTGTGGCGTCAGATTTCCCAGACGTGGCAGCAAGCCTGCTCACTGAATTTGATTATCTTCATACTGTATTGCATATTGTAAATATGGAACTAATAGGATTGAGATGACCCTGGCTTGTAAAACTCAGTGTGGAGAGATTGTGTGACAGAGCTGTGTTGCACAAAATAAGGCTAAGGATGCTTAAAAAGGTGGCCAGCTCTTAGCAGCTACAAGGCTCCACAGTCAGGAGCCTGCATATGCCCCTCTGAAATGAGGGTAGCCTCGGGGAGATACCAGTGCTCCTTAATCTTGCTGGAAGACAGGGATTTGAAGTACAGATGACTTGACAAGTACTTGCATGTAAATGAAGGAAGTCTGTTTCCTTTAAAAAGCAGAATATTTGTACTGGAATGTGGAAACTACTCAATATTTTACAAATTTTTTATAGTCTAAACAAAACCCAACTGAACTTTTAACTGTTGTAAATTAGTTTTTTCCTTGAACCTTCAATTCAAGTGACCTTCTTGAATTGCACAATTTGTAGTAGGTCTTGGATGTGTGAATAAAGTTTCAGAGGTATTTGGGTTTTCTAAAATACAAAACCAAACTTCACACACCCCCACACTCCCTCCCAAAAAGCCAACCAACCACAGACTTGCAAGGGTCTAATGCACCACGTTTTGTGTGATTCAGTGAAGCTGGGAACAAATGGTGTAGGTCTGTGGCTACCCTTAGTGATAAAAATGAGTAAAGTTTGGCTCGCATTAGGCAGGAGTGTTGGTGTGGCTGTAGTTTGGCCTTCCTCGTTAAAACATTCATATCTGGCGGTGCATTTTAGGGGACAAGGGCTGATTTAGTTTCGTTATAGCTCTTTTTTACCTTGATTCCTGTGTCTGGTCTTTTAAGTTTCTGTATTAATTTCTTCTTGGCTGTCTTGTAGCTGAGGAGTCTGAGAGGGTTCAGTGCAGACTGCACAGGAAATTATTCAGGCTGAGTGAATCGTGTGTGCTGCGTGGAGCTCTCCTGCAGCAGTAAACTTTACCTGATCCAGTGGGGTTTAACACAGGAAGTTAGAATTGCCTTCAGGGTTTTTTTTTATTGGGTTTTGTTGTTCTCACTGCTGTTAAAGTGACTTACGTACATTGCAGTGCAAGTCTTGTGCTTTACTGCCTTTCAGCGCCCTAATGGGAGGCTCATGAGAATTGGAGGGTTTCATTCAAATTGTCGTCTGGTATGGCATGAACATCTTTATTTGCCTTATTAAACAGAGGAGAAGTGGTCTAACAAGCTCAATTTAACAAAGTCGGTAAAAAAAGAAATTTCTGCCTTGATAGCCAGAAGAGGACAGCTCATGAGATTCTTCAGTACTTGCAGCTTCAGATGAGATTTGAGGTAAGTACTTGTGATAACAGTATCAGTGATAGACTTCAGAGTAGAGTTAGTGGATCTTGTAACTGACTTATCTTGGGTCTGAAACAGATCCCTCTGGAACACACGGCAAGTCTGCAAGTGTGGTGGATCTTTGGTGATCTTTGGATCTGTGCTGTGCCTGCAGCAGCAGCACGCTCTGGGGTGACTGCAGTGCTTGGAGAATGCCACCTGAGCCTCTGCCCTGCCTCTTGCAGTCTGCCTGGCTGTGGGAGGGTAAGGTGCTGGCAGTCTTAGCCTGTTTCCCACTGTCCTGCAGATAATCTCCTATTCTGGACTGCTTCAGCACCAATCTCTCATGCCTGTTGTGATAACTGGCTTTGCTATTTGTCAGTCTCAGTTTTGGGACTGAGATTAGGAGAGAGCAAACTCATTGGCAGATAGCAGAATTATGTTACTGCTGATCTGTTGAAAGTCTAGGTATAATCTGATTTTGATGGAACAGTCATAGTTTGCTTGTGCCCTACACAGCAGTAGGTGTAAACTGTGCCCTTTTACTGCCCCATGAAAGGATTATCTGCAAAAAACCTACAAGATAGTCCTGAGGTAGTCCTGTAGCAAGCAGTGTTTCCTTCTGTATACCTTAACACAAGGTGTGGTGTTTAAAATAATGCTAAATTGCAGGACACTTGTTCCTAGGTGGAGGAGGAGGTGCTGGGGAAGCACAGCTGCTCCATGGCCATGTGCTGCACCCTGGACATGTTTAATGTCCTGGCAGCTGCCTGGGGTGGCAGAGGTAAATATCAGATTTGTCGACCCACTCCTTATTTCTTCAGTCTGGTAGTTGCCTTCACAATACAGGTTTTGTGCTCACAATACGTATTTAGTACAGGCATATGCCTTTGATTTAGTCCTTGCTGTGACTGCAGTAATCCCTGCTGGATCTGTGCCTGGCAACAGATGTTGCTTCTTGCGGTGTCTGGACTCCAGGCCAGGAGTTCAGTTGTTCTGTGTGGTGTATTTACACTGTAGATGAACACGAAGTTTATTCAACATTTAAAAGCAGGGCCGAGTTTGTAGATTAAGTGTGGACATGAACTTAAACCTGCACAAGTGAGAGCTGCTGTCTGGGGGCCTGAGACTTGGTGATCCTTCTGGAACCAGCAAAGAAGCACTTCTTTCTGGTGATAGGCACTGAACCAGATATTTTCTCTCACCTGCTGCTCTTCATCCTGAATACTAAAGAAATGTCAGAGATTTTGAATTGAAACTTTTCTTTGCCAAAGGGAAGCCTGCAAACTGGGTTGCCTGGGGTAACATGAGTCACAGCAGTGTGGGACCGTGGAGTTGTTCCTATTGGCACTCCAGAAAAGAAACAGCTTTGCATTCATTTGGATGTGTGGTGCTTCAGGTACCAGCTGTTTTCACCAAAAGGGCTCCTGCCCCATTTCAGAGAATAATTTAGGCATTTTCCAGAATAGCTGTCCTGTCAGACCTTTGCTAGGTCAGGCTGTGACTGAAGAACTGGAATGCACTCATGCAAATAAAACACTTAAGCTAATCACTGGCAGTTGTGGGGTTTGACAGTATCTAGGATGTGTTGCATGCACAAGCAGTCTGCTCTAGAGAGCTGCTTCTGAATGGAGTTCTGAAGTTTTTCTCCCAGCTGGACAAGGGAAGCAGCAAGATCAGCCCTTTCCTGAGTGAGTCTGCATTGAATTGCATTGAACGGCTGCCAGCACACGAGGTGTGTGCAGGGGTAGTGTTCGTGCATGCTCAGCTGAGAGTAGGAGAGGGATAAATCACCTGTGCCGAAGGTGGCATTGAGTCCTGTGCCAGCCTTTACCAGACGCTCCACAGGCAACAGGCAGGACTGAATTCCCGGTATGTGCTGTAGAACTAAGCACTCCTTGTACTTCCATGACTCAGAGAATGCCCCGTCCTTGGGAAGCATGCTTGGTGCTAGTAGCCTTGCACTCTGTAAAATGTTTTTGCCCTTTGAGTGCAATGTCAATTTTGAAAGCTTAAATCCAGCATTTATCCTGATAGCTTTGTTTCCCCCTGTACAGTAACACCGTCAGCATTGGAAAGTGGTGTACTGAGGATATGTTACAGACACTGAGGAAACGTAAGTTAAATATAGAACTTGTGCTGATAAGTGCTGTGGTTATAAAAGCTGCCACAGGACCCCGCAGAGCAGGGAGGATGCATTTCTCCAGATGCCTTCTCTCCTTTGGTTTTGCATCCTCCCATGGCTGCTGAATTGAGCAGTGACCTGGTAAAACCTTTAGCTGCCACTTATCGGAACGAAGTCACTGTCGCTTGAGTCTCCCTTCCTCAGCCAGGGCTCAGACACAAGAAGGGCTGTGCAGCCTTTCTCTAAAGACAAAGCACTTCTCACGTCTATTAGTGCATTGAAAGCTTTCCCATTCACACTTACGTTAGCATTCTTATCCAGGCAAGGTTAAAGTTCACCACTTTCCCAAGAAGTTCCTCCAGGGACTGTTTTCGCCTTAAAACTTCAGAACAATCCTTTCGATGCAGCTGTTGAGCATTTGTGTCCTTGCCGAGTGGAAGGGAACGCATTGAACTCCCCCACACGCTCCCTGCATTGAGTGTGAGTGTTATCTGATACCTGCACCCCCTTCCTCAGAGCCAGCCAGTCCTGTTACAAAACCAGCACTGTGTACACACTGTAATTTGTCCTTTTGTACGAGATTGTCCATTGCAAATATTGATCAGACCACCACCCAGTGCTTGTTTAGGCTGGGTCTGGGACTGAACAATCACCAAAATGCTGAGTGTGCCAGGGGGATTTTCAGCTCGGTGTCAGAGTGGATTACAAACTCCCCATGATGAAAGGGGAGATTGAGGGGTGCGATGCGACTTCTCCAGAGTCACCTTTGCTTCACGAAGCCATTGATTTATTCAAGGCTTTAGCCTGGGCTGCTTGAACAATCCAAGTGTGTAATCCGACACGCAGGAAATTTCATTCAGGTTTAGGCTGGAATGTCTTGGCTGTACCGTGTGTCCAGTTACCCTGAGGCAGAGGCAAACGCCTGCATTTCAGTGAAAGAGAATTTCAGTCAAAGCACCACTTTTGCAGCTGTAGCTCATTCTGCATTACACCTATTAACACACTGGTTGCTTCTCTTAATGTCTGCCTTGATTTGGTTTTCGAATTCTGGTAAGGGCAGCAAAGCTGGGATACCTGTTGCTGGTTTAAGCTTCCAAATCTGGTTAACAATGGCTCTTTTAGAGCTGGTAAGTAAAATTCCTCCTGCTTTCAAACATCCTCTTAGGGTATTTGTTCCCATTCACTTTTGCCCCCCCCAGCTCAATCCTCAGGATATGTGGAATCCCTGGTTATAAACTCGAAGCTGTGCCCTAAATTGAGTTTTGTTTGCCGGTGATTTTGGATTATACTGTCTTTCTCCTTAGAAATTTCAGGGATGTCAATTCTGATTTCTGCCGATTTTGCTGGGAGGTCACGGTGATTTCTGTTAAGAGTTTTCTATCTAAAAGCGAAATTTACTTCAGTCAGACTAGAACACCACAGTAAATTTGCCTTTTGTGCCAGTGTGTGGGACAGAATGACTGCAGCCACATGTCACCCAGCAGTGACAGGCTGCAAATGTGCTCTTAATGGTGCTCCAGCAGCTTTGTCCCAGATCAGGTGTCAGCCGTCCTTTAGCAGCTGGTAGAAGGACAAGTTGAGCACTGTACCACATGGAACTGGCTAATTTGATGGAAATATGATTATCCAGCTATTCTAGAAACTGATCAGATTTGCACTGTGCAGGATCCAGGAGTGCACAAGTCTGGAGATCACTCTAGCTCTGAGCAAAATGTGAGCTGGCTGCTGAATTTATGTAATTGCCAGCAAAGAATAGATGATGGCTATCAGTTTGAGTAATTCTTTGCCCTCTTGAGTGAATGCAGTGTTGGCATTTTGTTAATAACATAATCACAGGCAGGACAGTAATTCCTCTTCCAGAATCAAATCCTCCACAGAAGTATTCTTCCCCTACAAACCCAGCCCATCAGCCCTTGTAGTCCCTTAGCAGCCATTTGATTTCCAGGAGGCAGATAAGACTCAGCATCACAACCGTGTTTCCTTTCTTGCTCACTAGCTCTGAGTGTAGTTCCTGTGTAAGCACATGGGAAGTACTGGTATTTGTGTGGCTGGTGACTGCTCTTGTGACAACGCCCCGCCCTGCAAGCTGCAGAACAGGAAAGCCAGGGGAAAGAGATGGTGTTGAGCAGTCTGGGCTGCTGTTCAGGGCTTTACAGTTTGTGCTGTCCCATGCAGAGTTGTTGCATTCCACGCTGAAGGTTAGCAGTGACTTTTCATACAGTGTTTGGACTGCACTGATGCAGAGTGCCCCATGTTCTCCAAGCCTGCACAGTGATCCTGCCAGGAGGTTCTGTGGGACCACAGAGTGTGAGTTACCACCAGTGCTGAGTTGGGTGTTCCTCAATGCCCACCCAGGCTCCTGTCAGACACCCACCACCTGGTGCTTGGCTGAAATGTGTCTCCTCTTGGCATCCATGTGCTCCCACTTCAACTGCATTCAGTAATCAGTGAGGTATGAGCAGCAACTGGGAGAAAATTACCTCTGGAGAGGAGGCTCAGACCAGGAGTTCAGCTCTTGAGACAGGAAGGAAGCCAAGATAAGAGTTTCTCCTGTTTATGCCCATGATCTGTTACCACTTTGGCTGATGTGTTCATACTACACATCATACTACAGAGGTTGTTCATACTACAGAGCTCAAGCCAGGGGTCCTCGGGGAGGTGGCAAAAACTTCAAACCTTGATCAGTCACTGTGCTCCTGCTGTTGCTACATGCTCAGCTGGGAAGTGGTTGAGTTCTTCCTTTTAGCTGCCTGGTTGGTGGAAATGCTGGAAGCTGGTTGGCTTTACAGATCACTGAGCTTGGCAGGAGGCCTGGCTGTGTTGGCTGTCCAAGAGCTGGGTCTGTTGGATCTCTGTTTCTAGTCTCATCCTACTTTGCTGTTACTACTGACCTGTGGGCTCTTAATATGCAGAAATCTGTTCTGTGCAGAGATGGACCTCATCCTACACTTGCAGACATTTCCTAATTACATGTGGTTGTCATTGATTAAATGTTACTTCATACAGGTTTTCCTGTTCTCCTTAATTGGTAGTAAATGGTAAAAGAAAACAAAATACATGTTTTGACTTAAGTATAAGAATGCCACTGGAAAGGGCCCATTTCAGCTTCCCACCTTAGCTGAAAATTGAATGATAACTTGATTGTGTCAGTTTTATTGCCCAAATGTTACCAAACTGGAGTTAATAAAGCAGTAACCTACAACTGACCTTCCTGCTTTTCCTACTGGTGGGGGTGGTAGATGGATGACACCTGAAATGTGGGTGTTCTCAAAGGGTGTGGGTATTTCTTGATATCTCTGTTCTATTTGTGACAAGTGCTGCCACACAGATAGCCAAACTGAAGAATTTGGCTGATAAGTAGTTCCAAGCCATATCTAGACAGTGTGAAGCAGAGGATTCATGAGAAGACATTGCTGCTGCTTTTTCATTTCCTGAACAGTCTGGAGTTAGCATGTGGGACCCAAATGCTGTGACACTGGGGAGATTTTGAAATACCTATAGCCTCCTGCCATTTAACAGTGTTTACCTGACAGAAGAAGATACTGGTAGACAGAAAATTGGTTTCCTGACTTTAACAGCAAAAATATGGAATGATTTGATGGGAGAGAAACAGCAGTCACCATTCCACCAGCTGTCTGTTGGTGATGTAGACCATGTGGTCCACGGAAGCAAAGATGATCTGTAATTGGGTTTCAGGGCAATCAAGACTAGGCCCTGCAGTGCCTTGTGTGAGGTTGGGCCCCCAGAGAAGTGAGGAGTCCTGCAAAATCTGTGTGTCCCACATCAGTAGAGAAGGTGCATTTCAGTAGTTTTGGGTTTGTTGGTTTTCTTTTTTTTTTCTGTTTAATTAAGATAATCTGCAAAATATCCAGCTATATTTATTTATTTATTGGTTCATTACAGTCTTCTTTGTGGAAGATTGAGTGTTGAAGAAGTGAATATATTAAATCTCTTGTGCTTTTGGTTTCCTCTCCTGCTGTAGCTAACAAGGGATGCTGTGGTTGTTGGGCAGCCTCCACTCGTACTGTCCTGGTCAAGCTGGAGCCATTGTGCACCTCTGTGTCACTTGAGGTGTGTCACAGAAACCTCTCCAGCCTGGGCAGCGCTGCTGCTCCCACTCTGCTGCCTTCAGTCCATCCCAGCCCCAGCTTGTGCTGGTGCCAGGGGCCCGGAGCCCTCCAGCCCTGCTGTGGATGTGCTGGGGGGACTGGGGAGTGCCAAAGGAAAAGGGCCTGTGGCAACTTCTGCTCCTTTCTTGAAGGAAGAATTCAAATAAGATACTGCAAGTGCCTCTGACCTTCACTGTGTTTCATTTAAGAAAAGATTGCATTGACCATTACACCTTTTTATTTTGTCCTAATTTCTCTTGTCTTCCTTTTGTGTGTCTGAGCTAACAGTTCCTCTCTCCTTGATGCCTTTTGGGTAGCAATAAGATTAATTTTCAGAGTATTGATTCAGTTTTAAGACCTGAAACCTTGGCAAACAGTCATTCTGCCCTCAGAAATAGTTTGCTCTGATTCAAATTAAATCACCAGGTTTAAAATTTTTTTAACTAACTTGAAATACTGAGAGGAAAGAATGAGAGAAACTATCCACCAATCACTTGTCCAGTACAGTAAGAGTTGGAAACTTTCTTACATATTAAACTAGAAAGACTGATAGAGCTGAAATCTGTGAAATACAGTGAACCTGCACAGTGCAACATCTCTGAAGAGGTTTTGTTGAAGAATGAGCACATGAGAGGTCCCTGTGGCAGCAGTGGCAGAAGGCAGAGGCTGCAGATGGAGCCAGAGCAGGCTGTGGGCAGGAGGAGAGGCGGAGGGGCTGGAAGGGAGAATACCCTGCTGACATTGCAGGGGGAGGTAATTGGCAATTCTCTGGGGCTCAGAGGAGAGGAATCAGGGCAGTGCAGCATTGCTGGAGGCTTGGCTTAGCTGCTATTTGTGATGTTGGGTTTTTGAACTTCATAATCCCAGAGAGGCGTTAGGGAAACCTTCCAGCCAAGGCGAAAGCAAGCCTTGAGCCCAGCATCTGTCCCAGAATCCAGAACAAAGCAGAGCCTGTGGCTAGCGTGGATTTCACTGTGTTAGGAGATGGTTGTGATGGGGAGTGCCTCAGGTTTTCCTACGAGGGATGTGTCCTGGTCCTTCAGGTGCTCCTCTCTGGGTGCATTCACTGCTTCATCCATGACTGATAAATCATCCTCTGTCAAAAATGCCAGCATGACCTGTGCATGGGGAGAAAGGGATCTGTGGCACAGAGCATGGCTGTCAGCACCATAAGGGTGGTTCCCAGGCTGGCTGGGGACAGTCCTCCATCCTGCAGAAACTGCATTTGCTTCTGTGATCTTTTCCCTTTGCACAGGTGAGATCTGGGCGGGATTTTCCTCCCAGAATCACCAAACTTTGAAACACTGCTGGCAGCACAATGTGCTGAGGGTAGGACTGTGCCAAAACATGCAAGCCCTAATCTCTCAGGAGTAAAGATATTTTTTTCAGATAATGTAGGCCTGGAGAGTAATGGGATGAGGCAGGAGCAAGGGAGAGAAAAGCATGGTCAGTTGGTTATTTCCTGACTGGTAGTCGTAAAAAACTAATGTTGTTGGGATGCTCTTGGTCAGCTGAAGCAGACCTTGTGTGTTGGTTGTTTTCAATAATAGAATATTTGTAAAGTCTGAGGACTGGGGCTTCTTTTCATCAAAGCTTTTCAAGGTAAGAGCCTGGCACGAAGCCTCGCTGCCCGTTCCTTTCTGCTGTCCACCAGCCATCCTCGTTTTCTGCAATGACGACCACGGTGTCTCCTTCACTGATGTCCAGTTCATCCACGTTCTGAAAGGAGACAGGGAAAGAAATGTGGCTTGCTGAGAGCACAGGAGGGCCCAGGAAGTATCTGGTGGGGCTTTTTTAAATCCTGCTCTTTATCAACACTCTGCCAGTGTCCTTCTGGTTCTGAAATACCAGACAATGAGGGATTAAGCATTTTGGCTATTTCTTTAAGATGCTCTTTAAGATTTCCCCAGCCTCTGTGGTATCTCCTCCTGCACAGCCTAATGGTTTTATCACTGGGGACGTGCAGAAAGGGTTAAACACCACTCTCCTACAGCAGCTCACCATGACCTGCATAGTCTGCAGGTGCTGCTAAATAAAACAGAGCACAGCTTAATTCCTAAGGGGGATAACAGTGCCTCTGCTAATCCATGCCTGAAATAGGTCTCAGTTCTTTTAGCAGGGGACAGCAGTGACCAGTGGGGGACAGTGACTCTTGGACAGCAGTGACTTTCATCCCCAGACAAGTGCAGTAGTTGCAAATAAACTCTCCCTGAGCTCCCAGGCAGCCATCAGTGTTCACTGGTGCTGTTCTATTTTCCATAGGAAACCACTTTGCTGCTCACAGTGTAGTAAATAGAAAACAGCATAAGGGAGGCTTCCAGAGATGTTTGAGGTGTCAGCTAAAACTGAATTTAATGTACCAGAATAGGTAAGAACAGACTCAAAAAGTGAGAGGCCTCAATGTACAATATACTAAAGGTAGTAAAAGGCTCTTTTCTCAGCGGGAAATATCCCTGTGTGGCACAGTTTTAAGATACTCCTGGAGTAATGAGGTGATCCAGTAGTCTCCTTAGGGGAGCTGCCATTAACAGTGAGGTGCTTTCAACTGTGCTTGCATGAAATTTCATGTAAATAACAAAATAAAGTTTAAAATGAAGTAAAAATAAAACCCAACATCAAATAAAAGGTGTTGGAATACTGCTGTACCTAAGGGAAAGTGCTCCTTTTGAGCTTTTTCTCTGTTTTCATAATTTATCTGGCATTTATCTATTTACACTTTGAGGATGTTTCAATCAGCGTCACTTATTTAAGTGTTCATTTTGAAATAAACACTTTTGTTACCTGTGCTGTGTAGTCATAAAGTACTCTGTAGTCCTGTGATGATGTGATCTCAGCTTTTTCATTGACAAAAATGGATGCATAGACTCCTTCTGTTCTCTCTGCAAGGGGGGGAAATAAGAAAGAAATACCCAGCACAGAAAGAGTTCAGTTGCTTATGAAACTGTGGGATCATATGCAAGAGTTCACAAATACAAGGGTTTCTGTTCTCTCTCTGCCTGGAGATGCACACATACAGAAAAGCTGCTGTGAACTGTAGGTAAATCTTGCACAAAAACTGTCCCCCATTGATGGGATGACAATACACCCACTGAACTTTGTGGGAGGTCAGAAACCATCTTTAGCCTCAGGTTGGGAAAAAGGTTCCCCCTGGTAAAACACAATCCAAGTCATCCAAGGAGGTAAAGACTGATTAAACTTGTTTAACAATGTTGCTACTGGGGGTATAAAATTCGAGCAGTTTCCCGGGCTCACACAGGACTTTCCTTTTCTAATAGAGAAAAATGGAAAACATTGTACCAACGGGTCACCAGACATTTTCCACTGGTTTATATAGTTCTCACATAGTTATTTGTCATGGATATAACTTTTTTTGCGATGTTTTAATACAGCTTGTTGTAATTAGGAAAATGTCTGATTTCTTCCCAGCATCTGTCTGGGGGCTTCCCCTGCTGAGCACCAAAAGCACAAGGGAGAGTCTGGGCTGAGCTTCTGGGTGCCCAAGCAGGCAGGTCTGACAGAGGCAGTTGATTTTAAAGCTGTTGGTAAACAACTTTTCTTTTGGTATGAACTACAGTTAAAATGCTTTTGTTTACTATCAAATCAATAAAAATGTCATAAATTGTTACCTTTTACATTGTCAAAATACTGTGTTTTAAATATCATTGATAAATTCCTAGTTATAAGGATAACAAGACAACAGTGCAACTGTGAGGTGAGATGGGTATTTGTATTCATAAGCCATGTGCCTGGTGTGTTAAAAAATTTATGTATTCTGTGGGGCTTTTTAGTGGTAGTTGTGCTACACAAGGAGAGAACTACTATCTATGTCAGACTGCTGCTCTGAATGTACAGCTCCCCCTGCCTAGATGGAGGTTTTGAAGACTCTATGGGTTATTTTGCACTTTAAACTGGGAAATCTGTTAATACACATCCAAGCAAAATTAATTTCCAGACTACTCTTGCTGGCCAACTTGTGAATATCTGCTGTACATTTCTGCTCCTTGTCAAAGGCTGGTTTAGCAACACAATCTTAAACAAACACATCTGGTAAACTGATTTCCTGCAGAGCATACCCAGAGGAGGGGCTGAAGGAGTGGCAGTTTCTGTGTTGTTTTTGCTGCTCCCATGCAGTAGTCCAGAGAATCTGCAGAACCAAGAGAAGCCAAAACCAAACTGAGTGAACAGGCTTGGGTATGAGCATTCCTTCATCTCAGCTCTGACTCAGCCTTCCCTCCATCTGCTTCACAGAGTAGAAGATGTCACCTCTTCCCATGGCCTTCTATTTTCTTTTATGCTGTAGATATATTTACCTTCCTTTAAAAATGTATTTTAAAAATGCAGCAGACTATTGAAACATCAGGCTTCACTAAATTGTGCATGAAATGCAGCAGATAATATTTTTTGTAGAGCCGAAGGCTCATGGTGCGAAACTCCAATTAACACCACAAAGTTAAAATGATGAAAATTGTCAGTTGCTTTTAAGATATTAACATCTCTTTGTGTTTAAGGAAAACCCTGATACAATTTAAAATACAGAGCTTGTGTAACAAGCCTTTCTAAAAGCTGTGAGTTTAAGTGAATTTTTATTTTAATCTATCCCTAGTTATTTCCTATATCACAGCTGGGTACTGAAGACTAAGTAAAGTGAGAAAATGAGTTAGAATTCTCAAGCAGAGATAGAAATAGCATTGCATGCTTAAGGCATATTTAAAGGGTCTGATTTTTCAGCTAGTGAGCATTCCATTTTTCTGGAAAATGGATATCCCATCTCAGGAGCTCCTGAAAGACTCAGGCTGAGTCTCTCCAGGTCCCTGCCCATGCTGCTCACAGTGGTGCTCTGAATGGCAGTGCAATTGTCTTATGTAACTGCACAGGATGCAGCACTGAATTTGTTATTAGAGAAGATCCAGTTTCCAGCTGAAAAACAAAGCATTGTGTACAACCCTGACCTGGCAAGCCTGGACCACATTCCAAATGAGATCACTGCCTGCTTCTTGTCTTTGCCATGTCATAGGGCTTGTTAAATTATAAATCTCTTCTGCTTTAACTCTAATGCCCTCCCCACTGTGAATTTGCCATTTCAGTATAAAATATTTAAACCAATAGAGCCACCACATTCTTCTGCTGTTATAACTGCATCCATGTTCTTAACATTTACCAGCACAAATCGATCAGAATAAAGAAAATTGCCTCCCTAATATCCAGAAAGAGAGAGCAGCTCTTTGTTCTGCTCACTGAGCAGTGCTGCAAGCACGGAGGGATGGCCCCAAAGGAAAGCTCCTCCAGCCTCTGCTCCCAGCCAGACTCACCTTTACCCTGCCTGGAACAAACCGGTTTTGTCGCTAAGTGCCCTGACTCATAGGAAAGAGGAAACAAATGCCTGCTCCCCATTCTGGCCGAGTTATTGTGTGATGAACTCATCCCCTGTCCCTCCTCCCACTGGGGCATGGCAAAATTACTCTCACTGCAGTTTAACACCGTCACTTCTTCTGCCTAGTCACATTTACTGGTACCTTTTGCTACAATGGAGGAAGTAATGACTTTCCAGGTGGTGTTGTGTCATCAGGCAGGGCTGTTGGGGAGAAGTCCCGGCTCTGGGCAGTGCCACTCACCTCTTGATCATGCCGCAGGACTGCGTGGGGCTGCTGCTGCGCCGGCCGGGCTCTCTGCTGTAGTAGCTCTCGTAGCCGATGGCATCTGCAGCAGGGCAACAGCAATGAGATGTTCAAACCGAAACACTGTGAGAAAACATTGTTGTCTCCCTGCCAGAATGTGACCTGGGGCTGCTGGAGCAGACTGCAGGGCAGGACCTGCCTGCCCTCCCCCGGCCCTGGCTGGAGCGCTCAGGGGAGCCGGAGGCTTGGCAGAAGGTAAAGCAGCCTGGTGGCACGGCACCCCGGCCCATTGCAGGAGCTGTGACTGCCCTGATGAGGAAGGCAGTTTCCTCCATGGCTGTTTCTTCTTTTGAGGCCACTGAGTGCCCTAAACCGTGTTCATGACACAATTTTTTGCAGCGCATTTTGTTTCTTCTTTCCTCAGTGTATCCAGTCAGGAATTTTTGTCAGAGCCGGGAGATTTCTGAGTGATATTGCCTGAAGCAATAACGAGCAATTTCCTGGTGTTTGCTTGTGTGTTTCCCCACCTTTCCTATCTCCCCCGTCTGCCTCCTGAGAGCTTATTTGCTGTTTACCCAGAGATATTTGGATTTTCTTCTCTCAAACACATTTAGGTTGCAGTTCCGTTGCTCTCCCCTATCGTGTCGTTAAGGGTGAAATTCAGACCATCTCCAAGTGTAACTTTACAGATGGAACAGTTACAGATGGATTTATTTGCCATCTCAGAGCTCCCGGTGCAGTTCTTACAGCTGTGGCCACAGAGCCTTTCTGCCTGTTCAGGTGAGAGCCAAGCACACATGAGTTGAAGCCTGTGATAGGATTTTATCTCAGCCCTGATACCAGCAAGGTAAGAAAGACATCAGACTTGGGCTATGGGCTATGTTGACATTCTCACACTGCATCAGCCAAGATACTAAGCAGAGCAGGCACACAGAGCTAGAGAGTGTGAAGAATCCCTACAAATAAGACTTATAGTAATTAGGGAGTTTTCTGACCAATTTAAGGGACTCCTGTTGCCCTTCTGCATTGTCACCTTGGTGCAGTTTCCAGTCTAGAGGGCACTGCAAGACTGGGTAGGAAGGGAAGTGAGCAAGACCATCAAGGAGGTTTGGTCAGGATGAAGGTCTTCTGCCACACAATGCAAAATTACACGTGGGCTTCCTCCTGCATTTTGCAAATAATAGCACAGATCAACAGCTCACCATGTGCTGCAGTGCAAACTCATTACCCAGAGCTGTGCAAAAATTAGGATATTGCTTCCAGAACATGTCGTCTTCTACAAGGTGGCAAAAATAAACAACAAAAAAACAAGTCAGGTTTTTCTTTGCATTTCATAAAGTTCTCAAGGTTTTTTTCCACCTAGTTCTTATTAGAAATGACTCTGACATGGACAAAAGATTTTTGTAGAAATATCCTAGGTGACTGGAGATTGACAAATCTCAAATTGGAAAAAAACCCCAAAAACCTAAACCAAAAAAAAAAAAAACCCAAAAAACTAGCTGAGAATTACACATTTCCTAGTATGCAGAAGTCGTTTCACACTGATGCAAGGCACAGTTCTTCTTTCTGCCACTGAAAATGTAATTTTCCTGGTAAATTTTCCTGTATCAGTGAATTTAAATCTTCTATGTGAAGAATAATCTATAGCAGCAAAGTGGCATCCAGTGCACCAGTATCAATATATTAGTTTTTAAAAATTCCCAAAATCCTAATTTTTAGCCACCACAAGAGTAATGGCAAAAAGGCTGAGTGAAAAGCAGGCCTCAGCTCAGTGCTGAGTTAGTGGCAGCACCCAGCTCTGCTGGAGAAGGTCCTGGGGTGCAATTCCTGCCAGCTTTGAGCTCTGCAGTGAAATCAAAGAGGTGGAACTTGTTCTTGTAGGAGACAATTATCCCCAGGGACCAGGCCCTCACACTGTTGGTTTGTACCTGTACAACTCCCAGCATGGCAGGGTTTATGTAACTCTCTTTTGTTGCCTGTTGAAGCCCTCGGGTGTGGTTTGTGTCTGCCCGTGGGACACATCAGGCAGCTCCTTTGCTAAGGGGTGCTTGGAGAACTCCTACCCTGGAGCAGCAGGTTTTCATTTTCTATCTGCTTTGCCTCATGCTGGGTTGATCTCCGTTTCAGACCAGAGGTTTTGAGCACTGAAGTCAAGGAAAAGGCAGCTTTGGCTTGAATGGGCAGAGCCTGGGACCCTGACAGCAGTTCTGTGTGCTGGGACAAAGCCAATTTCATTCAGAATTTCTCCCAGGGTCTTGGCTTATGCAAACAACTTCCTGAGAGCAGAAGATTTGTTATTCCCCATTGGGCATGTGGAACAGAATAGAAAACTGGGTCTTCTCTGTGCTGCAAATGAAGAGGCAGCACCTCTGCCAAGGGGACACTGGGGTGCAGTTATGTGGTAAGGTGGCTCTGCCTTGTCACCACTGCAGGAAGCTGAAGCTGCCATTTCTGCAAGGCAATTTGCCACCTCCTTAGTGGTGTCAGTTCAGCTGTACTGTGAAATGAGCCTGGCTGCAAAGCCAAAACAAGTTTTTCCTTCCTTGGAGGGTTATTTTTAAGCTGGATCATTCTGCTGTCCCACTTAGAGCATCACTCAGGCAGCGATGGCAGCACAGTGTGGGGGAAGTGAGCCACGGCAGGTGGGAACAAAAAGTTGGAGCAGAAATTCCTCCAGCTGGTTTCACTTCCTAAGGACGTGTACTGCACAAGCCATCTGACAAGATCAGTAGGAATAATTACCTGGAGGTTGTGTTCCTGTCATTTTTGTCTTAATGAAGTAGTCTATGTCTGACTCTACAACACAGTTCTCCAAGCTGACCCGAACCTCTTCATACATCTACAAAACAGAATCCAAGAGTTTAATTTAACTTCTAACATTTCATGTTGAATTAACAAATAATGCTCATGTAGTAATTGTCCCCTTTAAGAAATACTTTATACTTGGTACATGTCTGTCTGACCTGGCTGATCTTTAGCCTGCCTCCTGTACCAATATTCTTGTAAGGACACCTCTTTGTGCTCTGGATAGTCTTTAAAGAGAGTGGGACAAAGGCAGTCCAGAACTTTCCAATAAAGAAATTAACAGCAGGAAACAACCATTCAAAGCCAGATCTAGAGTATTCTTTATATCTTCCAGTTTTGCAGCCATGACTGGATGCCTTTTTTGAAATGGTGTCAGAGCCCAGATATACTCAGCAGAGTGTTTTGGTAGCGGGAAGGTTCCCCAGCACACCGAGGAGGAGACGTGTGAGTGCCACCAAGGCTGCATGCAGAATGCATCTGGATTACATCTGGGAGAAGAGGAGTGGGATATTCCCCTGAGCCAGCCCAGCAGAGAGGGGCAGGGCAGGCTGTACCTCATCATCCTTCACACACTGCAGGGACAGCTGGTTGCAGTGCACCCACAGCGAGTTCCGCAGGATCGTGATGCGGTCGCACTCCTGCAGCTGGAAGACCTAAAGCCAAACAGGAAAGGTGATGTAGCCTTGTGGCACTGAGTTATTGGCTTTGCAGGCTGGGACAGGGCTGGGGATGCAAACCTATTCTGAGGGCACCCTGGGTAAAGGATGTTTTTTCAGTTGGTGGAGAAACTACACCTACTGTTTGTACTCAAAAAATTGTTCTAATTGGTTGCACCAAATTAAAGTTATTTTTTAGAGACAAAAACAAAGCAGGGGAGAGGAATCCAGATCTGGATTTTACTGCTACCTCTGCTGTTGAGGATTTCAGAGTCAGGGTCCTGTCTGCCCATCACACTGAAATCTGGATGTTTAACAGATCGGTACTGGCATGAAGGGGCTGTATTTATGTTAGAGGCAGAGGCAAAACTATCCACCTCTGCCATCTAAAATGTCTCTCTAAACTTTTCTCTTTTGAAAGTGCTTGAGGCTCTCTGGACTTGACTCTGCATAGCAAAGGTCATTTTTGTGGTAAAGAGAAGGCATTTTTCTGTCTTCAGAGTTATTCTCTTCCTTCATCTGTCTGGCTTCCTCATGTTGCTGCACTGCTTAGGAAGAACGAAGATGGCAGAGAGAGAAGTGTGAACCAATTTGGGGGAAGAGGCAGATAAGCTCTTTCTTTAAAAACTTTAAAAAAAAACAAATCACCCTGATCTCTACGTTTTACTGTTAAAAGTAGAACAATGTTGTGGTTTTCTATGAGGTGTGAAAATCTCAGATGCTTTCAGCCATCTGTCTCCATCTCTGTTTGCTAGTAGTTATGTCCAGAACACCACAAATGTGTACAACATTCAGCAGAACACTCAGTGGGGTATGCATCCTGCCACCTAATAACTTACTGACTAAAGAAACCCAAAAGAAAGAATCTGTCAGGGAAGTAAGCTGCTGTGGGGACTGGTTTCTGAGAGTAAAAGCTTTAAAAGAGAACCTGCAGGGTGGAGAATGAGTATTGAAACAGCTGAACAGAAAGGCTGTGGCCGTCAAGGCTGCTGAAACAGCACCAGAGCCAAGGGGGAATTTTCCAGGTCAATGGTGTCCTGTCAGGAAATGCAGTTAATCCAAGAAGGAAGTGTAGTGACTCTGGGCTTCAAGCCCTTGTCAGCACCCAGAAAGGCACAGCTGGGTGTTGTGTTTGACACATCCCTCGTGCTGCTGAAATCCCATGCCAATGTGGCACAGCCCCTGTGACAAAGGCCACCCCAGAGCTGCCACTTGCCAGCCATCATTTCAGCACCCAGTTACAGACCCAAGCAACCCCAGCCCTTCCAGATTCCCCACTCTGCAGCCACAAGGGTAGGATTCTAAGCTGCTTTTTGTACTAATTGCTAGTTAAAAAAAAAAAAAAAAAACAAAAAAAAACCACAAAAAACACAAACAAACAAACAAACAAAAAAAAACCCACAAAAAAAAAAAAAAACCAAAGAGTATCAGTTCTTCTCTCTACAAGCACTTTTAAAAGAAGGCATTAAGGATGTCCTTGCTTTATGAATGGCTGTTTGGATTAAGCAGTGGGCAGGTCACAAGCTCTGTGAGCTGGCCAGGATTTAGCTATATGGGACAAAAAAGATTGTGAGGTTGTGGATGCTTCGCTGGTTGTTGGCTTTTTAAGAAGGGAGAAAATATGCCTCTTTGGAAGAATAAGGCTTGGGATAATATCTGTGGAAATGTCTGTGCCAGTTGTGGGGCTTTTCAGTCCTCTCAGATAGGGAATATTTAAGATGAAGCAGAGAACTGGAGATGTATGCTCCTGGCATTTTATTTTATGTGGAAACAAAGCCTGCAGCAAGTAAATATAGCAAAATCTGACTTTAGCAGATGGGCAGATATACTTGAAGGATTACTGTGATCAAATGAGTGGCTGATTTGGATGCCAACCAGTTCCTCTAAATTGTTGTGCAAAACTTAAAAGCCAAGTGCAAATCTCCTTGTCCATCCTCAGTAAAATGGAGACAGAGACTTCTCTACCACTGCCTTTCAACTGAAAGATTATTTCATGGCAAAGGACAAATATTCTTGCAGGTGAATTTAAAGTGCTATGAAACATAAAGAGTGACTGGGGTATGTAGCAGCTCATATATTGCTCCACCTCTCTCACCTCTGCACTTATTCCCCTCCTTTATTTTTACATAGCTATGCTGACCAAGCAAGGAGAATGTCAGTGATACAGGAGCAGCTATGTCTAAATAAACCCTAGTTTCTGCAGTAATTTTGCAAAGACATCTGTTGAGATTCCACATAAAGCAAACAGCAAAACCCTTGGGATGATGTTTCGGGCCTTAGACTGAAATCTTCCAATGGGATAAAATAAAGAGTGTGCAAACATCGCTGTGAAAATCAAGGTTTACCTCACAGGTTTTGATATGTTCCTGTTCCCACTCTGTCCTGACCTTATCCAGCTGCTCGATGTTCTGTTTGTAAACATTCTCTGTAAACACAGACACAGGACAGAAACCCAACAATCAGGGAAAAAGTGATACAGCCTTTCTCACTTTCCTCCTATTGGGCCTTTCCTGTGATTCCTACACGTCAGGCCTGTGCTTTGCTCCAGTATCACAAGAATATGTGAGCTGGGAACTGGCGGGGCACAATAATTACTGGGTTTTTTCTTTGTAGCTACGTACTAGAGTAAGGATTCTCTCTGTATGGCTTGCAGATCAGTTATAAACTTTACAGTAGGGGTAACACAATTCAGAGATGAAGAGCCTGGACCATGCTTGGGCACTGAGCATCCTTAGGCTCTTTCCATTCCAAGCCAGCCAGGTGAGCTATGTGATTTAGTGTAAGCTATTCAATGGGAGGCACAAGCTTGAGCTCCTGAGCCAGCTCAGGTGTGTGCTGGCCTGTCCTGGGCATACACACCTTTGTAGCTGCAGATCACTACTGTGCTCATGCACATGGGCATGGGGAATGAGATTTGGGCTGTCTCAGGGCAATTTGAGTGTCTACTGTGCTTTTAAACTTGCTTCAAGAAGAGCTTTTCTTCCCTGGGTGAAGTCCCTAAAGGAAGTCTTCTATAAATTCTTTAATGCAAGCAGGACACTGGCATTTCCACAAAAGGGAGTGAATGCCAATGACTGTCAGGCTGCTGCTCTTCAGAGGCTTCTTCATTCAGATTTGGGTAGGTGACTCTGGGAACTCTGACAGCCTGGGTGATTTGGATGTGTTCTATCAAAATCCTGTGCTGGTAGGTCTTTGCTGAGAAGATTAATAGTTCAAACAGCAAACAGCATCACCTGCTTCATTTGCTGCATCTCTGCATTGCTTGGCTTTGTTCTGGCTCTGAAAAAGGAAAAGAAACGCCCCAAATTAACTTCTGACATATTTTTGCTTCTGCCCCAGTTTTTTGTGCTGCTTGCTCTCTTCCCCTCTAGGGGGAAAGGCTCTAATTGGCAAGCACTTCCTGGCTGTCCCCTCTTTATGCACAGCTCTGCTGAATGTGTGCTATGGGGAAGGGACCAGGATTTTCCAGGTGCAGCCATAGGTGCAATGACTTCAAGGAAGAGCTTTCCATGCAGGCATCCCTGCCAGAGGAGCTCAGAGCCAGCATGATCCAGCCTGAAGCTGTGCCTGCTGGCTGAGCTGGTTTTTCTCAATTGTTTGATGTGCTTTTCTAATAGATATTTATAAGCAGAAATAAATGGCAGTTAAAATTCTTCATCTTTCAAGCTCCTCATGTAATACTCAGATGAAAAGCACACAGTTTTTAAAATACTTTGGAAATGCCAGATTATTTTCCATAACAACTCAGAAGCCTAAAAGAGAAATTCACTCCAAGTAGAAGTTCTCTGCTTTAAAAATCTGCAGCTTTTAGCAAATGAGAAACAGCCACCACTGACAGGTCTGTACTTGCAGGTCCTTCTGCACAGATGGGGGTGACAGCACAGTCATGCACTGCTCTAGACATCAGTGTAATACATTCTTCCACCCTGCCCTTGAAGACAAGGCTCAGGGAGGGGTTCTTAGCATCACATTCCTCATCACAGCTGGCTGGGAAACGTGTAGTAAGCTGGGAACAGGAGTTTCATTCTTATTTGCTTCCTGGCCCAAAGTGTTTCCAAATGCTGAGCAGAATTAAACAGCTTGTGAGCTGCTTCTGTGCATTCCCAACATGCTGCCATGGTCGGGGCAGAAATGGCAATGGAGCACCCTGGGATCCTTCTGCATGGAAGGAGCTGGGTCAGGTTTAGCTGCCATTGAAGGTGTGAAATGTTCTGGTGTCATTTTGGCAGGGCCAGGATTCCATCCCCTCTTTGCAGCTAAGCTGCAGGGGTTTGCTTATCAAAGATTAGGGAATGCTGGAAATAAAATGTAAAGTTCTGATGCTGTTTTTAGTCTCCACACCACCACCCCTCTGCTCCTTGAGATGATTTTTGATCCTTTTTGCTTACACTGCACTGATTTTTATCGAGCCAAAGGGAGTTCATTTATTTTGTTTTCTCCATCTGTTTCACTGTAAAATGTTCCCATTAAAAGTTAGTGAATTGTCAGCTGCAAGTATCAAGACGATGCAATGAAGGACTGCAGTGCCTTAATTTCCAACGATTTATTTTTGAGTCTGTAAATTTAGTTGAAATTAAATTCACCATGAGGAGAAAAACGTTGAGGAAAAATACGCATTTTAATGTAAGATGCTACGCCTACTAAGTGTAAGAGACCAAAAGGCAAAACTAACTGCATGACATATTTTTGACTTGTTTCTTTTTTGTAATGAGTAATCTCAGCGAAAAATCTCATTCATTTTCCTTTCAGGATTCACAGAACAATTGGATCACAGCCTGGGATAAATTAATTCAATTACTTAGTCCCTTCCCAGAGGATTCTTTGGGGTTAATTTCAAGGCAAAGCCCCTGGCGTCCTGTAGAATGGATTGGTTATTGTGTTCCCTTGTACCTGGAGAAGGTAAAGCCCCATTTTCCCCCAGAACAGCACTGGCATCCCAGGTACCTTTTCTGTTTGCTTCGGGTTGCCTGCAGCGCTGGTGCGTTCGAAGGAGTGCTCGGCCTCGTCCGCCTCCCTGCACTTCTGCTCGTAGCTCTTCTTGGACTGGGATCAAATGAGACCAAACGTGAGGGTCTGCCTGGGCAGCAAGGCTGGCCTCCCCCCAGGGATGTTCCAGCCACTTCATCCTTCGCAGTCTGGGGCAGCAAATCAGTGCCCCAGACTGCAAAGAGAAAAAAATCCCAAACACAGAAAAAATCCCAAACAGGAAAAATCCCAAACAGAAAAAAATCCCAAAGGCACCGTAGGGAGGCAGAAAAATAGAACTGAAACATTGGAATAGGGGCTGACAGCACAAATCCTTTTCCTGCAGCCCTGAAATTGTTTGCTTTGTATAACTGCAACTCCCTGCAGGGGTCAGGAATGCACAGGCTGCTCTACCACCACTGGTGCACCAGGCATCTGCCCAGGAGCCATGAAGAGAGGAATTTGGGAGCCAGCACCCCACTGTCAACAGTCTTGGTATAGTTCTCAGAAGCAAGAAAAATTTTTACTTGCACCAAATCATCTCTGTATCTTAGAGATGCACTTAGAACCACCACATTAAAAAAAAAAATCATTAGTACACTTCAGCTGTAGCACTGACAGGTCTGCAACTACTTTCCTTTAGAGGCAGTTGCCCATTGGAAACCAAACCCAGCTGCCTATAGTTTCTGTACCTGCAAGCTCTCCAGATGGAGAGGATTCCTCCTGCCTTCAAGATTCCCTCACTGTTCTTAAAATTGTACTTACACACACTGAAAAATTACATTTACTCCTCTAAGTACCCTTGCCAAGAGAGAATGAAATCCTGTTTGACCTGGGGCACCATTCATCCTGTATTAACCTTCTGGAGACTTTTCAGGGAAGATCAGCTTTCTCCTCACAGCAGGAATGACATCTTCCCTCCCTCACACACTCTTGCACACTCACACAGCTTTGACCTTTCTTTAAATAGAGGTACATGTGATACAGATTTTACTGGAGCCAGTTTTCATCAGGAAACCTGCCCAAGCCCTCCCTGCTTACCTCCATTGTTTTCTTATAATGGGACAGTTTGCTCTTCTGCATCCGCTCCATGGCAGACTCGTACTGTAAGAAACACACACAAGTCAGCATTTCTTGCTTTGGACGTCCTCCCCTTTCCAGCAGCAGGATTAGGAAAACCATAATCAGGACCTTTCTATGAGCCATCTCCCTGTGGGCAAAATTACTTCAATCTGCTTTTATAAATGACAGGTTTCTAGGTGAAACAGAGAGCATCCAAAGTGCCAGGTAAAAAATAATCCCAGATAATTCTGCTTCAGTGGTTTCCATTAATAGCAGAGAGGACATAGATCTTAATTTTCTTCCTTGCTTTATTTTTTGTTGGGTTTTTTTTTGTTTTGGTTTTTTATTTATATTTTGTTTTGGTTTTGGTTTTTGGTTTTGTTTTGTTTTGTTTTGTTTTCTTTAAGGGATGAAATACTGCAGCACCCAGTCACAGTGGGCTCTGCCAGCAGGGCTCCTTTGCTACTGCCAGAGCTTGATCCCACATGTCTGCAGACCAAACCACTGTCTCACCCCCATGAGCACAGGTAGTTGTCCATTCTCAACCCAAACAGTTCCCGTCTCTTTCATATTCCACTGCTTCTGGCAACTTTATGCTCAGTGTGATTTGATTTCCATGCTGGAGCTGTCTGGGCAGTGTTGGAAGGACAGTGCTGGATTCTCTTCCGTGGTTTTAGTTGTGAGATGCCCAGCTTTATGTGACAATGAGATATGCTCATTTCTTCAGGGGGACTTTTGATCTTTTAATCTTTACATTCTCCTCAAGCAAAACTCTCTCCAGGGCTACCCAGATGCTTGTTTCACATTGGGCAGTCCTGAGACAGCTACAGTGCAGCACAAATCGCAGCATTCTGGGAGGTTACCAAAACTGCTGACACCACCCAGCATGTCTAATGCTGGCTTCCTCACAGCCACATGCTGGACAGAGAAAAAAGCTTATCTAAGACTCCAAAGCAGTTTTTCCTTTTTTTTTTGTTCCCCCAGTCCCCTCTAACTATTCCCAGTCCAGTTACAGGCTTACAGTTCTCAGCAGGAGGGAGCCTCTCTGCACATCCCCGTGGCAAAGGGAATGGGGAACAAACACTGATGAACCTGTGCCCACTGCCTTGTCTTTTAATGCCTCATTTGCTTCATCAGATCACTGTCGACCTCAAATCTCAGTAGCAGCACTGGTTTCACTCACTTTCATATTCAGAATTCTTTGCTATTCCAAGTTCCTGTGTGTCAGGGGCTTGTAGACACACAGTTTTCGTGGCACTGGATACTGGTTATATGCATTTTCAATTATACAGCATCAGCTAGATGCTACTTATTCCATGTATTTGGAATTCAGCATATATTGCTGTTGCGTTCAGCATGACATTAATTTGCTTTCATGTTTTTAAACATTTGTGTTACTCCTTTATTTAGTGTTGGAGATTGTGCAGGGTCATATCAAAGAAAAGCATTAACAAGGGTATAAAAAAGAGAAAAGGAAGGATTAAGTTCTTACAGAAATAATAATAACAGCATCTGCAGTTACATCAGAGAGAGTAAAAGGGACTAAAGCCTCTGGCTTCTGAGTTCAGAGCACTGCTTTATTTCCAGCTGGGATCAGAAAGAGATTTTTGTTCCCCAGTCTCGTCTCTAGAGGGAGCAGAGCATGCTGGCAATGCTTTATCATCTCTTGCACAATTCCCAGCCCATGGCTGGAGACAGAGCATCAGCACAGCCCATTGACCCAACGGCTTTCAGCAGTTCTCTGGCTTCTCACCTTTTTTCTTTGCTCCTTCTGCCTTTCTCGGAACTCCTCTATTCCTTTCAGCTCTTCCTTCAGCATTACTGCCAGCTGGATATGAGAGTTTCCAACACTTTCAATTTCTAAAGCAAATCAAAATTCAGATTCAGTTAGTGGGAAGGTCTTTAAAGTCACATTTTTTGGAGATGTTTCTGTGATGTGACTGCCTTATGAGTTGTCACAAGGAGGACAGCTTTAAAAAAGGTCTCCCTTGTGTTTCTGCATGCACTGACATTGCTGAGGGTTCAAGAACAGAGTGAGTGTGTTTCTTCATGGCCCCATTCACCCCAGCTGCCCCCTTCCTTTGAGACTGAGGGTCAGGAGTTGTGCAGAGGGAGGGAAGGAGCTCTGGCCCCCATCATCCATCCCTGGCTGTGCTGCTGGGCTGTCACTGCTCTCGGGAGCTGCTGCCAGCAGTGGTCAGTCATTAGGTGAGGCTGCATGCTGAGAATTTCCTGGGATCAGCCAAGATGGATTGAATTTCAGAGCACCTGGCTGTTGCTGTTTGAAGTGGCTGGGAGGAACTGCTCTGCATTTGTCAGCTTCAGTGCCTCTGAAATGGAACCCTGCATGTTCCAGAAATGCTGAACTCCCCCACCCAGGCCCTAAAAATATCACAGTCCAGCAGCTGCTTTTCAAGAGGGAGTTTTAGTGTAAACAGCAGGTGCTAGTGACCAGGTACAGTGTCCTGTTGGCTCTCAGTGCAGCATTTTGTGTGTGTGAAAGGGTTTCATTGAGCCTTGGGCACATTTAGGCATCCTTTTCATCCCCTCTTTATACTACGGGCTGTGAAAGAAAAGCTGGGAATGGTGTGGGGAACAGGATGGACACACTGAGTGCCTGTGTTTCCCAGGTCAGAAGGGAACAAGGAAATACTTACGTTGCTTGAGCATCTCAAATGCTTCCTTCAGTGTACTGTGGGGCAGAAACAAGACACTTTATTAGTATTGGCTTCCAAGGGTGTGTTGGGAATCCAGGGAAAACTTTCCCTTAGAACCTCAAAGATCCACACAGAGATAAAACCCTTAATGGCCTCGTAATAAAAGCTGACCATGCTAACAAGCACAATAGCATCAATCTGTTGCCATCAGGAAACACAATAAAATGCTCCATGAAGCAGGGAATTGCACCACTTCTTCTGTGCACCCTCATTCACATTGTATTTGTGACCGGGAACGTTTACAGCCCTTCTCTCGTCCTGCACCGCGCAGGTAGACACGAACGAATTGGGGAATTGGGGTTTTGGAGCAGTAACCTGAAGGGTGGAGCGAAACCTGAAGGGTGGAGTAACCTGAAGGGTGGAGTAACCTGAAGGGCAGAACGCTGCGTGCGGCCCCATCGCTGTCCTCGGTGCCCGCACCGCGTCTGCCGAGCACCACCAATCCTGCTCCCATCCCTCCTGTGCACGGATCCTGCTCCCATCCCTCCTGTGCATCAGTCCTGCTCCCATCCCTCCTGTGCACGGATCCTGCTCCCATCCCTCCTGTGCACGGATCCTGCTCCCATCCCTCCTGTGCATCAGTCCTGCTCCCATCCCTCCCGTGCACGGATCCTGCTCCCATCCCTCCTGTGCATCCATCCTGCTCCCATCCCTCCTGTGCATCAGTCCTGCTCCCATCCCTCCTGTGCACGGATCCTGCTCCCATCCCTCCTGTGCATCCATCCTGCTCCCATCCCTCCTGTGCACCGATCCTGCTCCCATCCCTCCTGTGCATCCATCCTGCTCCCATCCCTCCTGTGCATCAGTCCTGCTCCCATCCCTCCTGTGCACGGATCCTGCTCCCATCCCTCCTGTGCATCCATCCTGCTCCCATCCCTCCTGTGCATCAGTCCTGCTCCCATCCCTCCCGTGCACGGATCCTGCTCCCATCCCTCCTGTGCACCCATCCTGCTCCCATCCCTCCTGTGCATCAGTCCTGCTCCCATCCCTCCCTGTGCACCAATCCTGCTCCCATCCCTCCTGTGCACCAGCACAGATGTGATGAGAATCACACGATGTGTAAAAGCGTTTTCAACTTAATGAATTCCTCTGGCTCTGAATGTGCAGGCTGGCAGGACGTTTGCACACACAGAAGCCAGGGCTGGGGTGGGACTTGGAAGCTTTTCAGATCTGGAAATGATCTCTTCAAGCCTCAGAGTGTGCTGTTCCTGGAAGGAATAAGGGAAGGGCTGGTGAATGAAGAGCCCCAGATCTCCCCAGCTACTGGAGAGCCCAGGAGAGGCTGCTGTCCTTCCCAGCCATGAGCACCCACAGCTGGGCAGGGAAATCTGCCTCTCCTGGGCCATGGGAGCCCCACGAGGCACAGGGAGGATCCTAATTGCCCTGTGCTCCTTTAGGCTGGACATCTGTTTGCTGATCAAACATTCTCCCAGCAGTGAGGCTGCCTTGCCAGGCAGAAGAAATATGCACAAATGAGGGGAAAGGCTGGGCCTGTCCTCAGCAAAAACTGCCTGGAAACCCATTGTAGAAATACAAGGAAAAGACTTTCAGACAGAAAAGCAAAGCTGTTCTACTTTTTTCATATTTCAATTAGATTGTGGTGAATCTCCTGAGATAAGCCAGGGAGAACATTCTAGATTGAGTATTTTTAAGTATTTTCCCAACAATACTTACACATTTGAAGTTTATTTTGTAAGAAGTTTGTCTGGTGTGAAATTTTGATGGAAACTAAATTTTCACACCACAAAGGAAACAAGCAGTATTGGTTTCAGACAATTAAAAGCTTGACATTAAAAGACAAGTTGGATATCAGCAGATATCAGATAGATATCAGAATAGGTAGCTTTTTCTAATGGATTATTTTGAAAAAATAAATATATATAAGGAATAAAATTTTCTCTTCCAGTCAGTAATTTCCAGTAGGAGGTGGGGAATGTGCTAACAATTTCATGCCTGAAACCGATAAATACTGGAAATAAAAAAAACAGAGGGCAGTTGAAAACTGGACATATTGTTCACATTCTATGTTGATTTCTCTTTCTCAGAGATTTTTTTCCCCTTTGTTGTTGGTGATTCAAGTTATGCAAAAACTGACAAAATTGCTGTAGTGGATAATGAAAAATAGCACTTTCTCAGTATATATCAAGGACAAAAGCAATTTGCTGCTTTTTTGGTTTCCAGGCACCTGAGCTCCCAGAGCAGTTCAGAGCCACAAGCCACCCATGGAGTTGCTCTCCTTTTGCTGGCTCTCTGTAAGGCCAAGGGGGTCTCCAGTGCAATAATGCATCTGGCTGTGACCCAAAGAGGGATCAATTTCTCCCCTGCATGGTCTCTAATGGCCCTTTCAGAAATCTCTGGCCTTTTCTTCCTTGTATGAAGGATTTGTCCAGCCAATTCCATAGCTGCTGACTGCTGCAAGTAGGCTGAAATACACTTAAGCAATTTCCTTCCTTATTTTTATAATAATTTTCTAAAATCAGTGAATTGGATCCCTGCATCCTTCCAGGGCTTAAAGGGACAGCAAATATGTCATCATGCCAAATTATACACGTGGGAGAGAATAAATCAATCAAATTTTGGCCTGTGGATCCATCAGGACTCCCTTTATGACTCCTGGGCAGCAGCAGCAGTGCTATAGATTTGCTCCTGGATGTTCTGATTATATCAGTGAAATATGTCAGTGCTTCACAGGGTTTAATGGAAGTGACTCCTGTAGCTGATATATGAATGAGTTTTAATTCTGTCTGCACTGGTGTGGATGTACAGCACCTCTTGCTGATTGCTTCTGGGTAGGTTTGGCTTTCTAGTGGGATTGATATGGGCTTTACTCTGAGGCATCCAAAGTGAGGACATCTCACTCTCCTGGACACTCTGAAATAGTGTTTTACCCTCAGCAGATGCCGCTGCTTAGCATTCTGGTGGTAATTGATTTTTTTTTGTGTTTGTCCTGTGGCTAAATTAGAAAATTAGAAAACCTAAGGTTGAAAACAATTCAAGCACCACTGAAAAATTGACCTTTTTTCTTTTTTTAATTGTTCACTTCTGAGATTTTCACATATATTCTGGAAGACTGTTAAACCACTCTGGCTAAAGACAGAGCTCCAGCCACCCCTTTGGGCACCCCCACATGGAGAATCCCGCACGTGTCTCCTTGAAAATAAGGCTGCACACAAATGTACTGTGTGTGTTTGTTAAAGGACTCCCTGTTGTACATGTAAAGTTTGGATTTGCCAAAGTTAATTTGGAGGGGAGCAGGAGTGGCTGGCTCTGGGACAGGCAGAGCCTGTGCAGCCGCCGCCGCAGCAGCTCCGAGCGGGGTTTGCCATCTAGTGGCTACAATATTCTTATGCCTTGTTTGGCTTTTCATGCTTTTTTATGCTTTCTCTCTCTCCGTTTGTTTCTGCTGAAACACTGGGCTGTGCTGAGCAGTCCTCTGTGCCACGGGGACCATCAGGAATTGCTCTCTCGACCTGCTCCACAGCCATCAAAAGCAGAATTTTGTTCCACCAGAGCTGGAATTAGCAGAGCCCTGTTACTGGCAGGACTAGGGTGAGAGCTATTCTCACCACGCACACTGTTGGACCACACTATTTTGTCTGTTGCAATTTTTTCAACCTTAAACTTGGTAGTTTGGGCATTTTTTCCAGTACTTTGCTTTTAGACGCTGGGTTAACTGAGTAATTTAGAGAGTCCCCTTATATCTTGCACACAGGAAGGTAAAACAGGTTCTTCTAACCGGAAAACCACAGATAATTTTAAATTTTCTTTCTTTTCTACCTTTGCTTGGTTAATAGAAGTGTGAAATAACCCTACCTTCCTTTCTGGTAGGTTTCTATTCTGACACTGGTACAATCTACAATGTTCAGTTGCTCTTGTAATTTTTAAAAGTACCTTTTCTGAAACAGAAAGAAGTCTGTGCCAGATGAACCCTAGAGACAGTCCCAGCAGTGCTGTCCACCCTCAGCCCCAGTAACGTGGATCCCAGAGCAGAGCTGTGAAACCCCTACAGTGACAGTCCCTCCAAGGCTGCCTTTCCTACTGGCACGCAGGGAACACCCAAAGTGCTTTTACCAACAATTCCTTCTGTGAAGCCCTTTGGGTGTAGCAAAGTCTGGGGAGATGTGTCTGAAATCATCTGCTCTCAAATAATTCCCACCTGGGACTGTGTCTGTGTTGCAGAAGAGAAATGAAGAGGAGGAGTTTTGCTTTTCTAACAGGGAGGCTCCTGAGCCATGAGCCAGTCCTGGGCCAGGCACACAGCACTGGCTGGCCTTCTTTAGTGGGCATGTGGCAAAAACATGGAAGAATTAATTTTGCCAGGATGTTTTCTTGTTCTCAGAGGAGCTATAAACAGAAAGGCAACACCCCTCAGTGCAGCTGGAAGGATTTGTGTCCTGGTCCCAGCTGGGCCGTGATGTGGAGCCACATGAGTTGTGGCATCAGCTGCTGCAGAGGCTGCACTGTGCACCAGGCTGGGCTCAGTGACAGCTTTGGGATTTTGTGGCTTTCATGGAAGCAGCAACCTGTGTGCAGGGTTCCTCTCGTGCTGTGGGGGTTCATATCCACGTTCTGCTGCTTGGATATTTCCAGGTGTGTGTCAGGAGTGGCAGCAGCCCTGAACTGAGGGGAAGGGGGCTGTGTCATCACTCCAGGGCTAGGCACTGGGAGCACACACATCACCCCAGACTTTACTGGGGCAGGAGAGCAAACAGGAAGACATCTCCATGTTCCTTCTCCTCCCTGTAAGCCTGACATCAAATTAGATCCCTTATGGCTCCAGAATGAGCTGTGCCATCCAAATCAAAGGTTAAAACACTCCAAACAAATGTTGTACCTTTAACATAAAACTAAATTTCCTCACATCTCTCAGAAAGAGAGCAGCACTGCTCAAAAATGCCTTTCCTCATTACCAGAGAGCTTGTTTAGATGAAATTTAACAGAGACTGAGCAGAGGCTTAGGTTCATTTTCAGAGTCCTGAAAGTTCAAAGTGCTAGTGTATAAATTCTGTGTGGGTTCAGAACATTTGGGTGGAGAATAAGCAACCATGCAAGGATGTGACCTTCCACACTGGCTTTTAGCTTCAGTTCAAAAGTGCCTGCTTTGTGTGGAGTAATACAGAGGATTTTGTATATTAAGTGACAGATGCACTATTTTTATCCACAGGAAACAGCAATTGGCATTTCATTACAGATGCCCTCACCTCACACTCACTGAAATGTTCTATTTCAGGCATTGCAGAGAAGAGCAGAGCACACATTGGCTTGAAGGAACTACCCTTTCCCAAAGTCCTAAGGAGATGGTAGTGGAAAAAAGGGATGAAAATTGTAGGAAATCATATACATGAGAAGAGACAAGCAGAGCAAATGACAGAAATAGCTGTTGTCAGCCTAGGCAGAATTGAACCAGCTAGTGCATGTTTGCATCAGTTATTTTACAGAAGAACAGAGCTCCCAGAGGCCCTGGTTTGGTTGAAGCTGAGCATGCAGCTGAGAACTGGCCTCTGTAGCATATTCTGCTCTCATGTTGCTGTGCTGAAGAGTTGCCCAAAGCCACTGCATGGAAATTCCCAGGCACCTTGCAGCCTGAAAGGTGTTTACTCTTAAAGGCACAAGCTCTGCTGAAAGTCATCTCTAGCATGAGAGGCATCATTGCTGTGCAGACTCCCAGCAAAGAGTTGCAACTGTGATCTCAGTCTGTAACTTGGCTGAAAATCCCAGTTTCTGTACATCCTCTCCCATGTGTACACCACTGAGAGTACAAATACTGCAGTTCAAACTTCAAAACCTGTAATTCTTTCTCCCCTGCTGGATATGGGTGTAAGCTGTCATTTGCCAAGAAAACATGGCTGTAGGTTTGTCATCACCTTTTTGTAATTTCTTTTATGAGTAGAGACTAGGAAATGGTGATGCAGATTTAATTTCTTTAGTTTAAAGAGTGGGATAACAGGCATACATTGCATTACCTATTGACTCAGTGGATGCTAAAATGTTTCAGGGCTTTAAATAAGAACAAAAAGAAAACACTGGAGGCTATTCCATAGAAAGCTGCTGCTGGTGTGGCATCCTGTGAACTTACTGATTGCTATGGCTAGAAGATTATTTAGAAGAAATATCTTTATATGCTTGCCCTGTTCTACCCTTCCCTTGGGAATCTAGTGTTGGGGACAGAATATTAAGATGAAGGGGTTAGTGTGAACTTGTGTGATCCTTCTTGTAGTCTTAGATTGAAGTGTGTGCATCTTTCTGTGCATTGGAATGAGCTTGCCAAGGCCTGTAGCAGCTGCTGAGTGAGAGCTGTGCCATGGGCTGGGCTGAGGGAAGGAGTCTGTACCAGGTGCAGTGCTTTTGGCAAGGACCAGCAGCCTGCTGAGTGATGGTGCCCTTCGGCTGTTAGCACTTAGAGGGAACTTTTACTTCTTGAGCTGGAAGCTGGCATGTTTATTTGCTCTGTCAGTGGAATCCAGCACCAGCTTCTTTTAGAAACCTCATCCTGGCTTTTTTTGAAAATAAGAAAAGGTGCAGTGTGTCTGCCTTGCTGGTTTTGGTGCTGTCAGACACATTCTGACCTGTGGGCTCCTAGGGCCAATTCTGACCCTGCTGTGCACAGGAGCAGCGAGGCCCTGGCTCAGTCACTCCTGCAGCAGCAGCATCAGACCCTGTCCCCTGCTAGCCCTGAGCTCAGAGTGGTTTTCACGTTTCTGGCCTGGGGAACCCTCAGAGGACACACCACATCTCTTTGCCCAGGTCACTGATGTCACTGCTGGTGCTGGCACTGAAGGGCCCCGTGTGCCTGGCCTGGGGCTGTCCCTGCCAGGCCTGGGACAAAGCTGCCACCAGAGGAGCTGGAGCCACGCTTCGGGAACACGCAGGATGGAGGATGGCATCCGGGTGGTGCTCTCACCATGAGCCTTCTGGAATCAGGAGAGAGTGGTCCCAGAGTTGCTGTTACCTTCCAGTCAGCCTTCCCTACAGCCTTTTGAGTCAGCAGCATATTCCTTCATCTGTGTCTTTGGTGAACAAAAAAGGGCAGTATAATCTATTTATACATTTAGCTGAGTTCAGCAAGCTGCTCCAGCTGAAGCAAAATTTGGGGTGAGAAGGAGCAAGCCTGAAAAAATGTTGAAATTGTTCTTTTCTTTGATTCAAAAATAAAAGCTTTTAAAATGCAGAGGAGGCTTGGGAGAGAAGTGTTTTCTGCAGCAATGGCCACTACCTGGTGCAGTGTGCCATCACCTTCTCCAGGCTGTTCTGGTGCTTGGCATTTACTCATCGTGTCTATTCTCTGCACCTTGTTTTGTGCCTATCCTGACTGTGCTGAAATACCAACCTCAGCCTTGCAGCTGTTTTTCTTAAGGTCTTCTGGGAGGTTTTGGGTGTTTGTTGTGGATGCATTTTTTATGTTCCTTTTATAGATCTTTTGAAAAGGTATCTGGTACCCTCCTGATATAAGGAAATTCTGTGGTGTGAATTTCCCAGAAGAAGTGACAGAAAGCTTTAGTATCTGAGATATCTAAAAGGTGGCTAAATTTAAGACTAGAGGATAATAATTTTCCATTAGCAAGAAAATGACTGAGTGATTTAAAATTAATAATTCCTGCTGCTCTGCCATACATAGCATGGCACAGGAAGGTCTGCAAAAAAAACCCTGGAAGCTTCTTTTTTTCTGGTGATTGTCAGATGGAAGTTTTAGGTACAAATACATTAGACTTTAAGAAATACTGCTACCCAAAGATGCATTTGAAGATGTGAACAGCCCTGTTCAGACTATCAAGCACTTGTAGTTCTATTAGGACCTAGTATGCTAGATGAAAATAGGGAGTCCTATAAAGAGGACTTTGCATTGGACAATGCATTGGAAAAATGCACTGGCACAGTTGCAGCAGTGTCCTTTCAAGCTTTTCTTATTATAGGGAGTACATAGATTCCCTCCCTCAAGTCTCCCTGAAGGACTGACCTTGAGGGCAGAACTGCTGCCAGCAATCAATGTCATATAAACAAAGAGAAACTTCACGCTGAGGAGAACACACAGACACAGAAAATTCAACAATTTTAAGGCATCAAAACCAAACATTGCATTTTCTTGTGTTGTTCCAGCCCTGGACAGACTTTAGTTTTCTCTGATTTTTTGTTTGCCCTGGACAAATGCCCTTCACTATCTGTGTAACTCCTTAAACAATCAGAAGATGCTGGATGAGAGAAAGCTACGTGTCCTCTCTGCTTCAGACCAGGCACAGTGAGACACTTGCTGTGATGAAAACATCAGTGTAGAGCTGGTCTCTCCCTGGCCAGGTGTGGGCTATGCAAACACAGTAAATCAGCTCCACAGCACAGCTTTGTTTGTGTATTCAGCCTTCCCTCCATGCCAACCTATAAAATTGCTGGGTCAAAGTGGTGCTGGGCCCAAGCCCAAACTTCCCCCAACTTGAGAGGAACTTGGATCCATATCCCAACACTGGGACTTAGCTCTGCTTCTAAATCAAGCTCTCATAATCTCTTGGGAAAAGGCAGACCCATGAATTGTCCACTAATTGCCCACTGAAGGGCAGCCAAAGCTGCTTGTTGCTGAACACGTTTGCTCTGCCTGCCCTGTATTGCCAGTAAAGGAGTTGAGGTGAAGCCTTTCTTTGATCCTGCAATACTGATCTTGGCCTTTGGGTTGAGAAGAACCCATCCATTCTTAACCTGATGTTTTAATTTCAGAATATTTCTTCTTTTCCTTCCTTCTCACCAGTTAGGTCAGTGAACTGAGCCACCAGGAAGGCAGAAGCCATCTCCTGGGACTGTGGCACCCCTGGGTGCTGCTCAGGGGCCAGGCAGAGCTGAGCACTGGCAGGGAAAGCCTTGCACATTCCCCTGGCACTACCCAGCACTTGAGCGGGCACAGCAGTGTCTGTGCCAGCCTTGCTGTGCCACCACAAAGCCACAGCAGTGCTTGGGGATCGCTGGCACCTGTCTGCCATGGCAGGGCAAAGCTTTGGGGTCAAACCTTCCCATGAAATATGGACAGGAAACCACTTGCACTGGGAGTGATAAATCAACGTGGAAAGGAGACTGCAATTAAGAAATGAGCTATGGGATAGAGGAGGGGAGCAGGCCCCAGGGATCAATAGAGCTGGTTTGTGTTTAGATTGAGGTCTTCTCTTTCAGGATCGTCTTCTGTGACCTCACATCTTCATCCTCTGCCACCTTATTACTGTATTATTACTTGTTACAATAATGACAAAATGTCTCATTATTACTGCTGCCATCAATAATAGCAGCAGTTTATCAGCAGTGTTTATTAAGTTAAATTCCATACCAACATCTATCTTCCCCTCCCAACACAATTTATACATAATTTAAGATAGTAATGGAGAAGACAGAGAAAAATACATGTCATCTTAGTGTATTTCAGTAGTTCCATTGAATTATTTCAAATTAGGTCCCTTCAAAGAGATTTTGTATTCCTAAGCTAAGCCTTTTTTCCTGCTGCAGAAGCTGATTTTTGGGGTCTTTGTGTTTGTTCTGTCACAGTCTCTCTGTTCACCAGCTTTCCAGAATTGTCAAGCCACCATCCTAAACATTTCACAACCTCTTCTGTTCTCCTTTTTCCCCCATCACTTGGTCTGCTTTTTGAAGCAAATATTAAACATTAAGAATCTTGAAATAAAAAAGGAAAGTACCTACTAGCAGTTTCCAAATAGAGCTATTCACAAATAGTGAATCCCACTGTGAAGGAAGGACGGTGGTGTTTCCCCACTTTCCCTATATATTGTGAAGAGCTGTGTAATGCACTGAAATGAGTGGTTGTGGCCTCATCCACAGGCAAAATGCAGGAGTCTGGTATTTCTTCCTAAATCATTTTGTTTGCAGTAATAATAAAAGAATTCCTTACTTGATTTCTGTTTGTCCTCCTGCTTTTCGGGCAATTTGAACCAGCTCTTTCCCATATCTCTCTTCTGCTTGTGCTCTGTTAAAAGAAAAACGTACTCAATTTCTCTTAGTGGTACCAGGATAACATTTACACAAATCTTGTAATTGTGTAAACTTGTATCTCAGGTGCAAAACATCAGAAATGCAACTTATTTGATTTCTCTATCTCCTCAATTCTAGTGCTGTTAGTTAACCTCTGAAATACTTTGGGTAAGTTATTTCTGGAAGAAATGAGATAAAAATGAAGCCCATCTTCGTGGCTTTGATTACTGTGGCATGCCATGTTCAGCTCTGCCCCCAAAACATGGATTCATGGGAAGAAGAAGGTGAACAAAGATGAGATGAAGGTGTTCAGAACAGAGCAAAAGGAACCTAAAAATAATGGCTGACTCAATCCATGAAAACACCAGCTCTGAGGGGAGTGAAGAGGAGGTTCCAAAGGATCCATTCAAGACATGTGGAAAATAAAGGGGAGCCAGGGGTAGCAGGAGTATTTCCATCCATTAGAAAGATGAGGCACTGCTGGAACAGCTGCTGTGGAGGGAGAAGGAGCCCTGGTGAGGCTGGGGCAGCTTTGTGGAAGGGACAATCTCACCTAATAGGGAACTGTAACTGGTGACTCAGGAAAGTGGTTCTGTTTCTATGGTTAATAAAGAAATACAAATATTCATTTGCTGTTTTCCCTTCCCCCAGCACGGGAGGAAACTTCTATTCTCTTTTTAAAAAAAGTATTTGTACTAAATGTGTTACTTCCTTTCTCCTGGGTGCAAGATCAGGGTGGAACCAAGTTGTCGGTCTTTGAGTAGCTGCTAAAAACTATGGAATGGTAAATAATAAATAATGAACAGATAGCCTGGTGCTAGCACCTAGGGGAAGGGATGATTTTGTTTAGGGCAAGTCCAGTTCTCAAAAGCCGTTTCAAAGCATTTCAAACTGTTTTGCTCTGAAATTTGGCACCTTAGAAAAACATACTCTTTGTTCAAAAAATGAATTTTATGTGGGTGCAAGGCCCTAGAACCCTGCTGGGTTTTAGTCCCATTGGTCTTCCCACTTGGCCAGGAGGTGCTTTGTATGTCTTTGCTGAGTTCCAGCAGTTTGAAGGCTGCTCTTGCAGTTTTGCCCCACGGCAGCTGTCAAGGTGGGTCCCTGAGAACATCCCACTGCCCCTCTTGCTGCCCCTGGGCTCTTGGGAGCACCTTGCCTTGTAGCAGGTGCAAATCCACCATCTCCTGGGACTCTCCCCAGCCCAAGGAGATCAGTCAGGCTGCTGGAGCAGCAGTGCTGGCCCTGCAGCAGGAGCAGAGAGTGTTCCTGGCCTCTGTCCATGGCTCCCACCTGTGGAACACTGCAGGAGCTGCCCTCGTGCACTCAGAACTGCTGTGGTTTAGTGGGGTTACCTACATCACTGCCTGGCATTCCTGTCAGAGGAACAGGGTGCAAAATATGATTATAGGCCATGCAGAGGCACCACTTCTTTTTCATGTTGGATGAATGAAATTTCATCAAAATGGAAATACACTCCAGACACATAATGCTGCAGAAGAAGAATAGATTTCTTCTGATTTCAATATCAAGAGATACTTCTGTGTCAGAGGCTTTGCTTAGTACTAGTGCCTGTGCAGCAATGAGAATTACTCCAGTAATTACTCCCACTTTGCTTGCTCAGTACACAAGTGGGAAAAAAGCATACCCAGCTTTTAACCAGTCCCAGCTCCTGAGACCTCAGCATGGATGGGACTGGACTGGCCCAGTGTCAGATGGATTTGACAGGAGGCTGACACCATCTCTTCATATCTGCGTGCTGCTTGTCCCACTTGCCAGTACCCCTGTACACAGCTTCTAGGTTCCCCTGCAGCCATTCAGAGAACATACTTGGTGTTTTAACCCTGGGGTTTGTTTTAGAATACAATTGCTATCTCACTCCCAAACCTCTTAGACCCTTCTCTGGGACAGTTAGAGGGATTGTGGCTGGAAAGCTGGTCAAGTGTTAGTGTGGCCAGGGCCAGGGCAGTTGGTTTCAGGACTGCAGGAGTCCTTGTTGAAATTCCAACATGAACCACATGGTAGGGGTAGCCTCTAGAGAGATTCATCCCATCCTTTGATCTTCTGCTGGGTCATTCCTCTGAGTGACATGAGGACGAGCTGAAACAAACACCTGCCAGCAATAAACTGGAAATCACATCTTTGACTCAGTGCCCACTTCTCATCTTCTTTTCCTCCCCACAAAAGGCACGTACACACACAGGCACACACACATACACACGATCTTTGCAATGTCTTGTGGGTGTAAAAAACCTCATGGAAATATTTGCAAAATGACTGTACATGTGTTTTTTCTTATTTATGGAAAGAACTTTGTGCTTCCACCATAAACTACGAAAACCTCACCCTGCAACTTTCAGAAGCCTCTGCAATATTTTGGAAGGAGCACAGGTGTGGGTAGCATCTGATGCAGAATTGCACCACCTGAGGCCTGCAGTGCAGTTCTGATCTCTGTAGGGTATGAGGCACAAAGGAGCTATTTTAAACACTTGCAGCTAAGCTGCCACCAGGCAGATGTGACTTCAGGACTGTGTGATGTGTGCCAATAAAACAGGCTTCCACTGGTGGTTGGGAAAAGCAACTTAAATAGCTTCAGGTTTTGACAGGAGACTTCACAAGCTGTAAAATGGCCACCTTTGAGTCTGACAACTCACACCCCCTTGAAGGTCCCAGGGCTTTAAAATCAGCCTTCAGAAAACCACCCTAAACCCAAAAAACTAGATGGGGCCAGCATGTGAAGAAAAAGCAGGAAGGTAGAGCAATATTCATAAGGTGACAGTGCTGAGATGAGCTGCCCTGAGATTGCCTGCTGGATTTATAATCCATATTTATGTGGTCTTTCCTACATGTCACACCTGAGTAAGCGTGTGCTTCATGCTTCATGCTGAAATTGCTGAACCCACTTAAAAACAGAACCAAATTTCAGAGCTGTTTTTCTAAGTGACAACTACAAAAATGAATGGCAAAGGAGCCAGAGCAGCAGTGTGATACATATTTTCTCACCCATAAAATTGTCAACTGTCCACAGCTGTTGTTGAGAAGCACCAAGAACAATAATATATCTATTATTATTATATAATCAAGAGCATAGACTACAACATCATTACTCAAAGCCTGCTAAGGTTGATGAACAACAAGGGCTCGTTTGGCTGTCAGGGTAAGGCTTTAGGTAGCATTTTATGTAGCTCTGTATTTGAAAAACGTCTCATTTTTGGTACTAGCAGGAAACTGAAACAGTGCCTGTGGCAACAGCATGTTCAAAGAGAAACAAAAATGTGCAAGTCATTCTTGCCCTGCAAAAGGGGAAATGCTTGTGGATGTAGGTGCTACTCTGTATTTATGGACCATAATGAGGGGTCTTAGTGGAGCTCTGGGTTTCTGACTCTTTCAAACTTCTCTTCCCCTCTCAAGTCTTTGAGATTTCTATTTATCTACCTTCACATCACAAGGCTGGGATTCAAATTACTCAGGCTTTTCTATGTAAGCTCATAACACTACCAAACTGAGAAACAGCCTGCTATTCCCTTCCAGATGCCAAATGAGACAAAAAAGGAGGCTGTTCACATTTTTTCACTCTGATTTTCATACCTCTGCTTGAGTAAATCCTCCACATCTTTGCACATCTTCTTCCCCTCCAGTAACCTCTGTACAAGCACCTCGTAGCCAGTGTGGAAGGTGAACTCCTTGCACTGAAGACAGAAAGAAAAAGTAATAGCTGTTAAGCACGTCAGTTCCTCTGACCTTAATTCTAATTCTTATTTCTTAATTCCTCTTACCATATTTCTAAAAAGAAAGGTCAGAGTCAGCTCAGTACAAATATCAGCCTGTGGGCAGTGACTGTGCCACCTGGTCAGTGGTGTATTAATGGGAGGGCTCATAGCACAGGGAGACAGGATTTCTGTGTTCTACTCCTGCTCCTCCCACTGCCTCACAACAGGATCAGGACAAGCCATTTTTCCACAGGGAGCCTGAGTTAACCAGTACAAAGTGATAATGCTATTGAAAATGTAGTGGTGAATGTTTTCTGAGCTTTATGTTACAACATTATGGTAAAATCATGGGCTGTGAAACCATAAACAGAATGAGTGTGTTCCTTCCCTCAAGCAGTTTATCTACAATACAAGCTCTTACATATGAACTGAATGCAGTCTATACATCCATCCACTGTCCCCTAAGCAGTTACCATTTAATAAATGGGTTACTTTATTGCTTTCCACCACCACTGTGAAGAAGACAGCTGTTTAAGTTTTGGTATTTGGAAAAGATCCTCTGGCAAGAAGCTGCTGGGCACTTGAGGCCTTTGCTTCCTTGTTGCTGGGATGAGAGGAGCAGGGGAGCTCTGGGGATGAATGGTGGTGGTTGATGGCAGCCTTGGTGCTGCTCACTCAGACCTTGGGGCTTCTGTGGAGATTTGGAGATCTAGGAACAGGTTCTTTTGGTTCTTCAAGAGCTAGGATCAATTCCTGCAGACAATGCCTGTAAACCTACAGGCTGTAGTAACATTTCCAGTGCTAGAGTCCATTGTTAAAGCCATCACCCCTGAAGAAACAGAATCTCAAGCCCAAAACATTAGTTTTCCTAATGTTTCCAAGGGTAATTTACACACACATCACAGAGAGGGATCCTGCTGTGAAATAAATGAGAAGCAGCAAGTTTTGCCATTCAGAGAGAATAGCAGGAAAGGTTCTTCATAATACCCTGTCAATGGACTTAGCACTTCCCCCCTCTGTCTTTTTGTTTGAGGACATTCAAATGACAGAAGGCATCACTGCTGTAAAGAAATTACTATAAATGGCTTTCTCTGCCTGGCAGAAACTCTGGTCAGATGCTCCACAACCAACTCACACCCTCAGCATTTTAATTGTACATTTTCAGATGCAATCAGCTATATCCCATAGCTGTGTACACAGCCTTCGTGTCCCAGAAATGCTGCCCATGAGCTAAGTGAAAATATCCTGTGGGTTGGTATCACCATAGCAGTCAGCCACTGCCACAGGCAACAAAGGCAGAGTGATAAGCTCACTGTGAAGTTAGTCTGCCTTTCTGTCCAATATCTCTCTTTGTTCAGTAAATGCTAAAACTCAATTGGTGTCTTTCGCCACCTCTTTTAAACTGGCACAGTTGTTACACTGAAAGGATGACAAATTCTTTATGTCTGAGAGAAAGCTTATTAAATTCCTTAAGCAGAGAATGCAGCCCCAAAAACATGCACACAAACACAGCAGTGTGCTGGGGGGCAGCCTGATGGGCTGAGGCCACTGGGCAGTTTCATCAGGCCCCTGGAAGCATCACTGCCTGCCAGGTTCCTCTGGGGTTTGTTCCTCTGGCTGGCCCTTGTAGAGACATTTGGCTCCTAAGGAGGGCTCCTAGCACAGACACTCATGTAATCTATCTTCATTTTGGGGGAATTCACCTCAAAATTTGCTTTCTTGTCCTCCTCTGTGTTCCCAAGGAATGTGGAGGCCCTGTTTCAGAAACACCAGGGTCAGAGCCAGGGCTCGCAGGGAGCAGCTCGTGCAACCTGCCCAGGCTGCAGAGGGAGAGCAAACGCCACAGCCAGGGTGAGACAAGTGTGAGCTGCTCTGGTCACTCATCCTGCTGCACTGTTTCTTAATTTCCAACCACAAGGGAGCCATGAATCACTCAGGCCTCAGCTTACTTGCACAAATGTTTCCCTTTCATTTCAACAGCTCTATTTCTTCTTTCACGTGCTGTACAACTGCATCCTCTCCCAACCTCTCCTTGCCTCCAAACAAATCTCTGTTGCCCTTTCCTGACATTCTGCTTTTTCATCCCATTAATTCCCACGTGTTGTTATAGTACCTGTTCAAGGCTGGATAAATGCCTGTTGGACAAGGATGATGCTTTACCACTCCAGTAAAGACTAAGTGATGCTTTGTACCATGGCATTAATGTCAGCTCTCTAAGAAACACCTTTGGTCTATCAGAGAATTGTATTTGCCTTCTTTCACTATCAAATCATAGCAGTGACACTTGAATGAGCTATGATCTACAGATACACCTGCAATTCTTTCCTCTCCTGCTATTTTATTCAACAAGTTCTCAGAGTATATTGGATTTTTTTCACTACTGATCTCTTACTCCCATTTTGTACTTTGAAACTTTGATTTTTATCTGTTTTCTGTTACCCCACGCTTGAAGGTTATCAGATACCTCCTGTACAATATTTCATTCTACCTGTTTGTTCCAAGCACAGCTATTTCCAGCCTGTTCTTCATGTCTTATGGCAGGATCCAGCACCTCCCCCAGATCAGTGTCTTTGCTCATTTTAGAGGTCTTCCCCTGCTTTGTCTGTTCAGCCCCATTTTGTTTTTATCTAGTGTCTTAAGGATTTCCTGTCTAGCACCATAACTGACCCCACATTTTCTTTGTCAGGACAATCAGCCAGCAAGATTGGATCTCCTTAAACAACCATCTAGCCTTGCTAAGCAGTCTCGCCTCTATTCTATTTTCCATTTACCATTTTGTGTTATAATTAGCACCCGCATTGAGTGGTTTTGCAAAAGCTGTTAAGCTGCACTAGTCAGACAGTGCTTGGTACTTCTCAGAAAGGATTTTGTTTTGATTCTAAGAACTAATGAATAGTCAAAGAACTATTTTATATTTTTTAGAAATTAGAAAATGCTTTAATTAGATAATAAATACAGGCATTAAATTGTAAAACATCATTTGCTTATACTAAAATCTAGTAGCTTAGAAGAGGGCGATTTGACTCACCACCAGTAATTTCTCTCATTGCCAGTAAAGGGATTCTGCTTAGTCAAAGCGTGTGTGGCTGTGAAAGAGGATTTAATCCTCGTTACTAAAAAATATTACTTATTCCTTGTAGTCCAACAGGCTTATAATTACCAACAAGAAAGTGCTTGACAGGGATTTTAGTGTTGTGAGCAGAGTTGTGTTGTCCTGAAATTCACCCCCTAACTCTGCATGTGTGCTCTGCTCTCTGCCTGGGGATTTTCTTCTTGTTTCCTTCTTGAAAATCCCAGGTAAAGGAGGGGCAGCCTCTGCCCAGTGACAAAAGTTGCTTCCCTCCAGTGCAATGAGCAGCATTGCTCCTTCAGAAAGAAATGCAGAGGGGATTATAGGACTGAAACTTAAACTTCTGTGCTCTAGTTTAAGCAGAACAGCTTTTCCTAGAACACTTGAAAGGAGGCAAGGAAGCCTGCAAGCAGAGATGACCACAGTGAGCATGCTGGGATACTCATTCTTCTTTCCATTTCTTTTTCCCTCTGAGGATTAACAATGCTGCTCCCTCCCATCAGTACTTTCCTGTTAGATCTGTGCCTTGGGACTTGTCCCTCCTGGGACATGTTTCTCCATGGGCAAACACCCAAGCAAATATTAAGAGTTAATTGTGGGAGAGTTTACTCAAGGCTGGCTCTGAGCTGGTTCCTGCAGCCATCAGAGAGAGGCTCCAAGGATTTTGCTTTGGCACTGAAGGCTGCAAGGGAAGACTGGGAGTGTCAGTTCCCTGCCCAGAGGGCAGAATGTACCAGGATTGCTGGGGGGGTGACATAATTTCTTCTTACCTTCTGGTGGCATCAAGCTGAGTAACCTTGTGTCTTTAACTCATTAAGGATCAGCCTTATTCCAGAACATATTCCTCTGAGACTTGTACTGCTGGGTACTCAGAGGGAACTGCAAGGATTTCTGAAATACTAGAGTCTACATTTTGAACTGAAAAGGCTACCATTGCAATAATATCAAGGAGGAAAGACTAAAATGCTGTGCTCATTACTGAAGCAGCTTTCAGTAAATAGCTTTTCCAATGGACTGGACAGAAGGAAAACCATCCAAACTCACGTACAAAGCCCTCATGGGCACACCCTGCATGTCCAGCTGGTGATGGTCACAGTGGTGTGAGCTCATCAGGTCATTGTGGTTGTGCTGAGGCAACTCTGGGCACTTCTGCTGCTGCTGCTTTCCTTGGAGCATTGCTAACCATGCTGGCACCTGGCCTGCCCATCTGCGACTTTGTTTAGAGGTACTTAACGTACCACAACTCTCCCTGCTCCTGCAGGATTAGCTGGCTTGGCAGCACCTTAGCATCTCCCCCAGGGCAGCCTCTGCTGCTGAGGCTGTGTGTCCTGTTTGGGGAGTGCCAGAGCTCCACCTGGGCTTGCTGCAGGGCTCTGGGGGCTGCAGGGCTCTGGGGGCTGCAGGGCTCTGGGGGCTGCAGAGCTCTGGGAGCTGCAGGGCTCTGGGGGCTGCAGGGCTCTGGGAGCTGCAGGGCTCTGGGGGCTGCAGGGCTCTGGGGGCTGCAGGGCTCTGGGAGCTGCAGGGCTCTGGGGGCTGCAGGGCTCTGGGAGCTACAGGACTCTTGGAGGTGCAGGACTCTGGGAGCTGCAGGGCTCTGGGAGCTGCAGGGCTCTGGGAGCTGCAGGACTCTGGGGGCTGCAGGGCTCTGGGGGCTGCAGGGCTCTGGGAGCTGCAGGGCTCTGGGAGCTGCAGGACTCTGGGAGCTGCAGGACTCTGGGAGCTGCAGGACTCTTGGAGCTGCAGGGCTCTGGGGGCTGCAGGGCTCTGGGGGCTGCAGGGCTCTGGGAGCTGCAGCTCTGCCTTTCAGGAGGAAAGGGCTCATCCCAGCATCTCCAGCTGCAGCGCCTGTTCACCTGCTTTCTGTAAGGAACCAGAGGTAACAGGGACCGTAACCCCAGGGTACAGCTGGGCAGTGGCACCACCCTGATGGGCAGGAAGGGCTGGAAAAGGAAAATCTCCACAGCAGACACTGGGTGCATTGCTCAGTACCCAGCAGGACAGTGCTGAGCTGTTGTGGTGATAAACACAGCATCAGAATCCACGCACAGGACCTGCTCTCTGTGTACCACCCCCAGCTTCTCAGAGGGGCCTGACACGACCAATGACAGCCATAGCAGAGCTCTCAGGGGTTCCTTCAGCCTAATCTGACCTCATTTCGGATTTTAAATGTATTATCTGCTAATATTTAAAAAAATATTTTAAATGCCTTCCCCTCCACACTTCACTAAAGTTTGAAAGTATTTAGCTATTAAAGTTCATTCCTCATCTTGGTTCCTAATGATATTTTTCCAAAGCTTGTATCAGAAGTGTTCTCATATGGCTCTGGACTGAACATGCTAAATGCTGCTACCTGATCCAAATAAACTATTAATTCAGATTTTCAAAGAGAAAAATAATTGACACGGAACTGGTTATGGGTATCTTTGGAATTTTTCTCTAAATCAAACTGGTTTTGCATTCATATCTTGTTTAGTTTAGGTAAACTTATAAAAGTTTTAGTAAAACAAAAACTTAAGATCCACTTTTCCAGAGTTAAAAAGGAAATAACTACTGGTGTGAGGAGGAACTTTAGAGAGAACAGGGCACAGTGAAGTTTTGAACAAACATTATTTTGACAATATCTTTTTCAACTGTCAAAAAGAACCTTTTGTGGACCTTTCTATCCACAGTGGTATCACACATGATATTTCAGTCCTCAACTGAAAGTAAATTGTTCTGACTGAGTTAAATCAATTAATTGTATGCTTGCATCATACCACTGGGTACAGGTCCTGAGTGTTTCAAATCTTGTTCCCTTGATCTGCCAGTCTCCTTGTCAAGTGCTCTGCCAAGGCTTTATATATGTAGAGGAGCAGCAAACAGACCTAACAGCCAAACATTACTTAGAATCTCTAACACTGGACTGGGTATTTCCTGTCATGGCATGGCCTTTCACTGTAATTCAATCACTTGCTTTATGTTTTGTGGGTTTTCCCCTGGTACACTTTAAACTTTTCTAGAAATTGTGTTTGGGAAGATTACTGCTGTCTTTCTGCACCATTCCCACTCTCCTGGAATAAGCAGGACAGCAGAGAGCACCCTGCTGTGTGTGTGCTGGAATCCCCTGTCCAGCTCTTATCTCAGGGGTGCCTGGCGTGGCCCTGCTGTGATAAGAGCTGCTCTGCTGCTGCTTCCTGTTCCACGGCTGCTGTCCCAGCTCTGCTCCCCTCAGGGGCACATGGAAGAGCCCTTTTTCAAAACCAACCCCTGCTTCTCAGCCTGGCCCTCCACTGCCTGGCCCTGGGAATGTGCCAGCAGCTGAAAAGGCGGCTCAGCACCTCCATTCTGAGCTGAGCACGCACATGGGGGAAGGTCACCCTGCCCAGAGCAGAGTGGTGTCACATCAGAAACCTCTGACCAAAGTGTTGCCCCCTGACCAGTGCTGAGTGTGATATGAGACCCTTTTCACACATGTTGATGTCATAATCAACTGCTTAGCGGGTTTAAAAGCATTTGCTCATGCTATACTGTGTAAGAGCTCCTTTTTCCTACTGGCTGAAATCAGCTGGAATGGATGGGAATGTCATGGTTGCTTGTGCTTTCCAAGACTGACTACAGAATTTATACAAGCTTAAAAAAATCTATTTTTTTAAAAGTATTTATTTTTCCCCACATAAGCAGAAAAAGCAAGGAAGAGTGGGTGGGTTGTAGCTGGCTGTACAAGATTTCTGTCACTTCTTGTAAATTCACTCTTTGTGTATCAGAAACAGAAATGTTTGCTCAGGATGTAGGTAGGGACATTTTGGTGATAATTCCAGGAGCTGACTTGGGCATTTTCCACAGGAGGCTTAGTTTGCAGTATTGCTGCAGCCTGTTACCTAAATCTGACATGCAGTACCTTTCATGGGGAGCAAATAGTATTTATTGTCAGGCAATAGCATAGAGGTGAACCTTGAATGGGACCTTCAAAAATCAGAAGGGAAAAAACACTGCCTCTGCAGCATTCCAATTGCTGGGCTGCTAGACTGCCTCTCCCACTGCCCCTATAGCGAGATTCTCACCAGACTTCAAACCTGCAGCAGCTAGGATAGTCAGAGATAAAACTGAAATTGAGATTCACAAACTATACAGAAGCAGTGCAAATGACACTGAGCAGAACAGTAGCTCCCCAGTGGCCTTTTGCTCTTGACCTGGTGGGTTTTCTCTGAGAAGGAAATGGTTGATTTAGAGTTCTGCTGACAGAGGAATTTGCTCCTCAGCTTCCTGAGCTCTCACCCTCCTCACTGGCATCCTGGGCTGCTCATGTGTTATATATTGGGCATTCTTACAGTCACAGCATAGTGTTTAGCTCTCTTCATGTTTTAGTCACCCCCTGATTTGCACAGATCCAAAGTGATGGCTGCACAAAAGCCTGCCTCACTTTTGCTGGCTGGCGGACTCATGGCACACAGGGAACAACTTGGAAAGTCTCAATTCCAGTCTACTAAAAGGACTCTGCTTGTGCTTATTATCTCTGTTTTTGGTTTTCTCCTTAATAATTTGATTAAACATTATTCTGAGTGTAGTTCAGAGCCCCAGTGCTCCTGTGCTAGCAGAAGGAGAAAGGAGCCAGCAGACAGATATGCATCACAACAAAAAGTGTGATGAAAAACTAGGAATCCATTCAGGAAATCCAACTGGAACAGACTTCTGGAACACCTCTGTGATGGGGATAATAAGAAACAGGACAGGATGCAGCAGAATCCTTCACCAGTTTTTAATGGGAGCTTGATGTGGCTACATGACACAGGTTTGAGGTGGCAGCATCCCTTCGTATTTTTGCCATATGACTTCAGACAACAGCTAAATCCATAAATTAAAGTGGCTTCTCCTTAGGAGCCAACAGAGAGGCCAGAAGTGAGGATCTGCACCTGTCTTTCAGAAGGCACAGCACTGTTGCCATGGTCCTTCTGAAATATGACAGATAAACGTGTCAATTATGAGGTCAGATGTTCCTTCAGTCTCCTACTGAGTAACATTAGCTACACAAGAGAAACT